GCTGCTGCTGCTGCTGCTGCTGGAGTTGGTTAGCGCAATTATTTACGTTGGTCTCGCTTCTCACTCTTGGGTTGTTCGGAGTGCAGATGGGAATCCCATGGATAGGGGGTGGGAGTGAAGGAAAAGGTGGCCGCAGATCTCGAGGCCAGCCTGTTCCTTTAACTCTAAACTATTTACATACCCCTATCCCGTCCCTGTTCTGCCCCGTCCTTCGCACATACCTACGTCTAGGTACTACCTAACTGCATGCATGCACTTTAGATCCAGGACCACTCACTCCCTACCTACCACTTACCACTTACCACTTACCACTTACACACACATTTTGCGTACCTACCGGGCACGGTACTTGTACAAGTAGGTAAGGAATGTCAGACAGTAGCAACTGCCCTACATACGTAACTGGCATCGCCTCGTTGGACGACAAGGTGACAGTGACTAGGCCTCGAATTCAAGCCAACGGAAACGAGCTGTAGCGCCGGCGCCGCCCTATTAGCCGCAGCAATTCGTTCGCTTGATGACTCTGAATCGTGCGATATCGGTCTTCTTTCTCTTTACGCTTTTGTTGGACCGCCCCTTTTACCCCTGAATCTGTATCTGTAGTGTACTTGCGGCTGAACTCGGGATGTGATGTCACAGTTACTATCACCACCCATCCACCCCTTCTTTCTACACACGTACAGACAGGCATACAGATAGATACCAACATAACGGTTGGGGAGGTCACCACACACACACACACACACAAACACTTACATGGCATTTCCTAATTGGATTTTTGCGTGCCCCTTTTCAGTCACATGTTTTTCCTTTCCTGGAGCTTGCGGATAGGCAGGCAGGCAGAGTGTTCTTAAGAGGTGCTCAAGAACGAGTCTAACAGACATATGAGAAGACCAGGTAGAGATTATACTGAGCAACTCTCAAGGGAACAAAAAATAAAATAAAAAAATAACAAAAGCCAGGGCAGGATGGGGGCACTACTACCTTACCCGTCCACCCACATCCCGTTTTGCTCGGTTATCGATAACGAGAACATCTGGAGAGCAACAGATTTCCCCCAATAGCCCCCCTCCCCCCTTTCCCCCCTTCTGAAGTCACCATGTTCCTGAGAAAAATAGGAGATGAGACAGTGAGACAATGAGGTGATGCTCGCTTGTTCGCTTGTTGAGAAGTGTCCTGGGTGCCCTGGGGCTTCGGGAAGTTGGGAAGGGGGAAAGGGGGGGGTGGAGTTCTGGAGTTTTGGACATTGGGCAAGGGACAATTTGGACATGGGCGTGGACATCAATTTGTCACGAGATACGAGGTTATCTGAACCTGAGATGGGTTGTCATGTCAGATCTGAGACATGAGAAGATTGCAGGGTGCTAATGATTTTCTTTTTGTTAGGTTGTTCTTGTTGCTGTAATTGCTTGCAACGGATTTTAACCGAGTTGGGTTCGAGTGCTACAGCTGTGTGATCGGTAAGTTTGTAGGTAGGGGGGGTTTGGTTGTTGTTGCTAAGTCCCTCTTATGAGGTGGTTCTTTTGGAAAGTATGAACAGAGAGGTGGTATACATAGGGTTGCATGCGTCAGTATCATTTATGATATTGTGACGATGAATTGGTCCAGTGGCCGAGTCGTTAATAGCTACATCAGGTTCATCAGATACATCAGGTAGAGGTAGGTAAGCTTGACTTCATCGACAACCCCGTTTTACTTTTTCTGCTAAAGCTTCAATTATTATTATTTTTTTTAGAAAAAAATTGCTTTGCGTGGAGGTGTTTGTTTTATTGACTGTACGCCTAGGTCTTTTCCTTCAACATGCAAAGAATTTTCAGGTCGCAAACAGGCAATTGAGTACCAAACCATGATTTGTGTTTTTGGAGGGTGCAAGTGTCCAAGGACTGGAGGCAAACACAGTGGTTTTGTCGAGGGCTTGATTGCACGATTTTTTCCAGCAATACGCAAGACGGATATTCCACGGACTAGTTCAGACATGATACGAGACCAGCTAGGTTGTCTTTAGAGTCAAGTCTAATCGGTCTAGTCCCCCCAAGAACAGGCATACATGGAAAGCATGGCACTAACGTTTGCGAGGACACATCTGCTCATGATAATGGAGGACAGAAGCGAGGCATTCGGGACGCGTTGGACTTCCGGTTGACAAGTACGTCAAAGGAGAGAATCTGCCGAGGCGTATGGAAGAGAAGGATCAAAGCATAACTCCAGAGGGGGGTCGACTGAGCTTGTTGTCATCAGTACTTCCAACACTGCAAACATCGCCTCTACACGGATCAAAGGCGTGGGAGTAATAGCATGCAGTAAAGACACTCGCTCATCAACACTCACACAAAATTCTACGGCATATCCCACACACACGGTAGGCACCAGTGTCAAGTCAGCATCCAGGATACATGTGTTGACCAGGCACCGACCCTTGATAACATTGGGCAAATGATTTCTAGAAAAATTCGCCTCTTCATAGAATCAGACCTCACTCAGTCTTTTCGCTTTGCTCATAGCTCGTGGAGGGATTGGAAGATAAGGGAATAGCCGCTTAACTGACTGGGCGCATCATGCATTTTTTTCACTGCAAGCGAATGAGAATAGCAAGAGACGAGTGTAAATAGACATCGATGTGACCTTGGTGAGCAGGCGGGTGCCTAGAAGCTGTTGTAGCGGGTAAGGAAGGTGAGGGAAGCACAGTCTCCGTTTAATATCGGTAGTTCTTTCCTGATATAAACGCCGGGGGTTGGTAGGGGAAGCTGGGTGAAGTCCAGTCCACTTCAGTCTCTGCTCAACATGATGGTTCTTCCCTTGTATGTAAATGTTGGTTGAGGAGGAATGTGCATTTCAGAGAGAAGTACGTCCGACGCGATAATAAGACTACATCAGGCAGGAGGAGACCGGATGTAACGAAAGAAAGAGATGTTTGTATGGTAACGGGAAGCTACATATCGAGTCAACTCGGAGTTCTCATAAGGAAGGAGCGGTGAGGGGTTGGTCGAGAGGATACAGATTGCAGTTGGGCTTTGTTGGGGGCCAGATCGGGCCCGAGACTAGGAGGAACCTAGAATAAGTAAAGTGGCGATGGAACACCGAGTAATGAGGAAAGGCCGGAGGAATTAGGGTTGAGTGTCTCATCACAAGTTGAGTTGGTTGATGAGGCGAAAGCAACGAGGCGAAAGAGCGGGCGGTGAATTTGAAGACCTATGATAACTTCAACAACCAATAATTGGATAACAGAGTAAATGCACCACGACAAATTGTGCAGTGTCTTCTCTCGAGGGTCTCTAGCTGTATATTCTAGATCTCAACGTGGCATACCATCAACCACACCCGTCATCTTGACACTTTCACACGAACAAGTTGCTAAACCATTCTCGTTCGGGAATCGAGATACGGGTGAGAACCGAATACGAACATGTAGTAGCAGAACTGGTTTATAAGCCGTCACAAAGTCACTCGAAGAGTGCTCCCAAGATGTAGGTTAGATACCATTTCTACAAGACTCCCCGAGGATATCAACCAACATGAACATGAATCGATGGCTGCCTCTACAATGGCTTATCTCAGTAATCAGACCAATCTTCTTTATTAGGCAAATACTCGGTTATCTTACCCCGGCGAGTTTCTCTCGCGGCAGGAGCTTGCATGCCTGCCTGCACAGGTGATTTCCCAGCCACCTTCTAGTTGGGCCTTATAAGGTCCCGCTTCAGAACCCCGAATAACTCCAACATAGACCTCTCGCAGTAAGGGCTCCTTCGTCGTCTAGCGGTATGCAAACGGGGCCAGATAAACATTGCTCGTTGCGTTGGTAACGGTGGTACAGTTTTCGTAGGCATGTCAAGAGTCGACGGTTCAACCCTGCTCTGGCCGCTGAGCTTCGTCTTTTTATTTGTCTTCTTTTTGAATTGCGTCTTGCGTCTTCTTAATCATGTGATGTTAAGTGCCCAGGCTTTTGCACGGCTTCGTTTTTATTTTTATTTTATTTTTTAACGTTATCCTGAGCTCGAGAGCTGTGGGAGTTCACCGTCTAGCAATCGGAACACCCACCTCTATGACTTATAGAGAGCTAGGAGTCACCTACTCTCCAACAAACGCCACCTATAGAGCTTCAACTTGCTGCTTAGGATAACAGTCGACTTAGCGTCCTGCCGGCCTTTAACTTGTTCAATGGAGACCGTAAAACAAAGCAGCAACAAAAAGATTGCTTGGTCAAGGAGAATGTGGTTTTGTACGTTGGCGGCTCCATCCTTACGCCTGTACAAACAACGAGGATGTAACTTGGGAAGTGAAGTTCGCAATCCAAAGGTGAAGAGTGGGTGACAGTATGGTTGAGGTACGGGTTTAGTCGAATTTGTACATTTTCGTCCGTTCTGACCATCTGAAACATACTTTGAAAAGACTTCAAATATGATAGTACGGAGACACTCTTCATTGATTGTTGGCGTGTACCACCGTTGATGCTTGCCTGCTGTACAGAATCCTCTGATGGTCAACTTAAACCTACACTAATTCTCACGTTTAGCCAGCACTTCAGCATCAGGTAAACAAGGCTAGAAGTTGGTATATATGTGATTTCATTACCGTCATGATCTTGGCTCTTTAGATGTGATCCTATCCTATATAGAAGCCCTTTTGATCCTTCTTTCCTTTTTGGACCCGTCTCCCTCTTTTCAACCTCACCTGCCTCATGTCTCTTCACATCGTCCAGTGTGCCCATGGACAACTGCTTGTATAGCGGTAGAGGAAGAAGAAGAAGAGGAAGCGATTTGGCTTCCCGTTCGGCACTCAAAGACCGAGTAAGCTCCCTCTCTTGTGGGTTTTCCAAACCGTTCCCGCACACAACCTGCGTTCGGCTCGAAGGTGTGTTGTCATCGATAAGGCATGAGTGTACATACGACTCGGGGCCACCGTCCGTGGTGTGGGTATCTCATCTCGTGTACACCCACAACACATCGTTAAGAATATTTCCTCACGGAAACTCTTTATCGCTTGATGATGGTGACGATATCTTCATCCGCCAACTCGTGGCTGAGACCGACACGCTGAGGCTGATGCTTGACGGACTTTCCGTACACAATAGCAACCTTGAACTGATCCACGATAGTCTTGTGGATAGTGTTACACTGTTTGGGTTCATCAACTGTTAGCCAACCCCATTCTCACCCAAATCTTTTCTTTCTCATGCAATCAGGTAGACGCCAGGAAGAAACTTACGAAATCCTCAACCGTGCACCTATTGCTCCTCAACACAACGGGAGCCGAATAATCCGGCATTTTGCCCTTGGGCTTTGTGTACACGCGCACGAGCTTGAGCTTCTCCCACATGGCCTCCATCAACTCATCAATATTCCAGCCGTGCTCGGAGCTGATAGGCACCGAGTTGGGAATACGGTACAGCAGATCAAGCTCCTCAATGGAGATAGCATCGATCTTGTTGAGAACGTAGATAACAGGGATGTAAGAGCGCGACTTGGCCTCGAGCACGTCGATCAAATCATCAATGGTGGCATCGCAGCGGATGGCGATGTCGGCGGATGAGATCTTGTACTCGCTCATGACGGCGCGGATCTCGTCGGTGTCGATGTGCGTAAGGGGCACCGTGCTGGTGATGTTCAGACCGCCCTTGTCCTTCTTCTTGAACGTGATGTTGGGCGGCTCCTTGTTGATGCGGATGCCGAAGCCCTCCAGCTCGGCCTCGATGACGCGCTTGTCGGTCAGAGGCTTGTTGACGTCCAGCACGATGAAGATGAGATGGCACGTCTTGGCGACGGCGATGACCTGGCGACCACGACCACGGCCGTCCTTGGCACCCTCGATAATACCGGGCAAATCGATGATTTGTAGGGGGGCACCTGTATGTATTGTAACATTTTAGCTCAGAATGGAACCAGGTGACGCTCCGGAGAAAAGCAAGAAAACGGGCTACCCACCGTTATAAGTAACCTGACCCGGCACACTCGTAAGCGTGGTGAACTCGTACGCAGCCGCCTCAGAGTGCTGGCCCGTCAGCTTGCTCATCAGCGTACTCTTTCCGACCGAGGGGAAGCCGATGAAACCGATCGAGGCCACACCGGTTCTGGCGACGTCGAAACCAGCACCACCGCCGCCGCCGCCGCCCGAGGGCGTGAGCAGCTCACGCTTGAGCTTGGCGAGCTTGGCCTTCAACTGTCCGAGATGGTAGGATGTCGCCTTGTTCTTCTGAGTTCGGGCCATCTATCGAAGGGGGAAAAGAAAACATGTCGTTAGCCGTGATCCCTGCTTGTGGCGTCGTTTCGCTCATCTTTCCGAGGGGACAATTTGTTGGTAGCATCGCAATCGTCCAAGTCGTGCTCCTCCAGCTCCAATGACAGGGCTTCTGAACAGCCTATTTGCCCGTCTGCCTTATGTGTCGCCGGAGCCAGCGCATCTTGGTCTCTGGCCTTGCCAACTTCTCGTCCTCTCTGACGGGTGCCGTATCATATCGGGGGATCAGGCGGGGGTTCGAAAATCGGGGGCTATCGCGGGCAGTAAAGACTCACTTCGGCCTCGACCTCTTTGATCTGTCATGGCGCGGCGGGCGCATACACGGTCAGTTGTCTGTTCCAACATGTCCTCAGAGCGTGAGTGCGAAGGGGGGATACGTACCTTGTCCACCGTGGTCGACATGATTGCTAGCTCTCACGCGATGGCGTATCTGTAGCTATGGGTGGGCGACTAAGGGTTGCTCAGTCGTGGACAGGACGGAGCGCGGTTGTTTCTAAGTTGGCGATTGTCTTGTCTTGATTGTTTGAACTTCCTTGGGAATTTTGAAGGTGGGGCAAATTTCATGGTTTCAAACGGCGCGCCGATGCGGTAAAATCGCCGCAGCGCGGGCGGCCCTGCTCAGTGCACGGAAGCCCCAATTCCCGCCCTGAACACCCCGGGCGGCCGGGCTTGGCCCGCGTTCCTTCCCCCGAACCTCCGTACCTGACTGTCTACAACGAATGCACCCGTCTGATAGCACCAGGCTGGCATTCGGCACGCCGGGGCTGTCCCCTCTCGAAACGTAGCTCTATGTACACGTTACAAACAGGCATCAATGCCCGCACCTTCTTGCCTGTCTGTTTTCCTTTCACTCATTATGGCATGTGGTCAGATTACAATAATCGAAACCTCTCAACTAACAGGTATCACATCGACACCCAGCTATTCGCCACAACTCTATCCCTCTCCTGCCACCAATCCTTTGACTTTCCAAGCCTCACGACTTGGATTCCTCCTTTTCAATTCGGATTCATTGAGCGAGGTACAACCACGTGCCGACTGACGACCACATCTACAGCTTTCAAAAAAAGACAAATGTTGTCCGAGTGTTTGTACACGATAGCATAATAATACCGTAACATGAACGCTAAAGGTACCTGCAAAAGTTGGGCCGACATGACCCCCGACACTCCATCGCTTCATCCCTTTTCTACACAACTCTCTGATTTGTCTGACATCGACCGCTGGACTCCCTCCTCATGACCTGTCCCACTGACCAACCTTGTTCAATACGTAAACAAGCGAAGCCCTCATATTTGAGCGTAACGAATTCGTGCTTGATTTCATCCCTGCCAACCCAGTACATCTTGATATCGTAGCAACCCTTGACACACATCATAATCCATCAGTCCTCTTCGTCTCCGCTAAGCATCCCGTGATGACCATTGAGCAGCGGACGAGCTTGCGCGGGCCCAGTCTCTGAAGATGGCGATATTGGGTGATGCCTATGTGCGTGCCCGTTGACAGTTCTAGCCATTGGCGATGTGATTCCATTCACACGGTTCGAAGACGAAGTCGTGCTCATGGGGGATGTTGACCGGTGGCCGTTGGACAACAGGTGCGAGCCTTGAGTCTCGCCCAACAAATGCCCAAGTCCTTGCTTCCTGCAGAGTTCGGCGTACTCGGGATCATTCGGCCTCACAGGTGCTAGGCCGCGGCGAGGAACCCTTTCTTCCTCGAAAGGCATCTTGCTGACCATACCAACCTTCGGTCTCTCTTCCCATATGAATTGGCCGTTGACAAAGTATTTGCTGCCCGGTGCAAAGCCATGATTTCGGCCCGCATCCGGGTCGTTCTTCCACTTCTCCAAAGGACGGAAGTTGCTGAAGTATGATTCATTCTCCGGAAGCTCACGATAGGCCATAACGAGCCGAATGTCCCGTAGGTGAGGCATCGTAGGGATGATACGCAAAAAGTCCGACGCCTGACAGAACGGTTAGCTGACACGCTTCATTTCATGATTTGCAGAATACCTGACTGAACCATACCTTGACAAAGAACATGTCCAAAGCAGAAAACTTCTCCCAAGCAGCACTGCGGAGCTTTTGCGTCACACGGTAGACAATGCTATCTGTGTCGTCAGTGCCGTAGTATTCAGGGAGCTCTTTGCCGAGGTCATAAAGGTGCGGAGATGTCAGCGCATAACGATCTGACTCAAGTTGCCAAAGTACGCGCTTGGCAATTTTGGATGCCGGTATCCTTGTCCATGAGTTGTCTACACCCATAGGTCAGCATTTAAGGGGCAATATTCGATCCGGTGTGGTGAGAACTGACATTTTGAGAGCCGCAGGTCCTTTTCTCCCAACAGCAGCGCAATCTGCGTGTTGAGCAACCACTGCTCTCTACCTTCTGGCGTCCCAGTTGCCTGTGGATCGATGCAGTCGTACCGAACTCCCTGCATGATGCTGAACTTTTCAGCGATCTGTTGGACTCTGGGGTTTGCAGCCCCTTCCAGCCAGCGGAGCGCAGGAGGTAAGTTGGCGATGCGAATTGCTTCCTGCTCGTGGCGGATTCGTCGTTCTTCCGCCTCCTTGGCAGCGACACGCTTTCGTTCCGTCTCTTCCCGCAACACCTTCTCCTTCCGTTCCTTTTCTTGGCGCTCCTCTTCCTCGCGCTTGCGGCGTTCTTCCTCACGCTTGCGGCGTGCTTCATCAGCCGCTTCCCGCTCAAGTTTTTCTCTTCGGACCCTCTCCTCATGTTCCAATCTTCTCCTTTCCTCCTCCTCTTGCTCCTTTCGTTTCCTCTCTGCAGCCTCTCTCCTCCTCTGCTCCTCCTCCTCTTCCCTCCTTTTTCGCTCACGTTCACGCTCTCTCTCACGCTCACGTTCGCGTTCGCGTGTTTCCTCCTCTTCGCGTTGTTTCCGTTCCTCCTCCTCTCTTCGTTTCCTATCCTCTTCCGCTTGTCGCTGTTTTCGTAACTCTTCTAGGCGTTGCCTTTCTTCTTCAGCAGCACGCCTGGACTCCTCCTCGAGGCGTTTCCGCTCTCTTTCTTCCTCTTTGCGCCTTCTTTCCTCCTCCCTCCTTTTCAGTTCGCGAGCTTCTGCCTCCATTTCTGCTTGCTTCTTTCTTATTTCATCAAGCTTCCGTTTTTCATGCATATGCCGGGTTGGTTCTTCCTGAACAGACTGATCTGCGTCTTCCATTTCCACATCCGCGTCTTCATACTTGACGCGGATACTGGGTTCGGAGATGGCGGGCTTGCTGGGCTCATGACGGACATGCTCTGAGGTGGATTCTGACTTCCTGGGCTTTGATGCCGATCTCCGATCTTCGTCATCTCTACTGCGAGATCTGACTCTGCCGTCAGGTGGTGCTGCAAGGCTGGATTCCCGGGACACGGAAGGCTTTAGGTGGCGATCTTCCGCTGAGCTGGGCTTGAGACGCCTTTCCTTGCCTTCAGCATCCAACCGCCTCTTCTTAGCAGGGACCTCTGACGTATCCTTCTCTTGAGACCCCGGGTGTGGCGGAGTTGCACTGGACCGGTGCCGCTTCCTGGAACTTTCACCCGAAATAGATAATCGATCTCGAGATTCGTCCCTCCTGATAGCCTTAGTCCGGTCATGATACTTCTCCATCATTTGAGGCTTTTCACACTCGTCTCGCGGACTGGATGACTGATCTCTAAATGAAGAGCCATTGGACGTGACGGAGGCGCGGCGCTGCTTCTCACGCTCACCCTTCAGCTCCCTGCCTGAAATCAGCTTCCGGCGGGGCTTTGGCGTCTCCCCTTCGGACGATGCAGCGGCAACATCATGTTCTGCCGCACGTTTGGCCTTGGAGGGGACTCTCCCTGCAGGTGATGCCTCGCGATCGGAAACAGCAATGGTTGGAATCTTGTCGTCTTTCTTGGGCCTGCCAGGGCCACGCTTGGGCGACGTCTCATCTTCCTGACGAGCGGCAATGGAATCCGAACGCCTCTTCTCCCGAGGACTAGCTGGGACTTTCGAGGGTCCCGTTTTCTTTGATTCTTTGACAGGGCTCGAGGCTCTTCTCCGATGGGACTTGGGCGCATCATCCTTGATCTCGGTTCGTGTACGCCTAGGCTCGCGGTCCGTCTCCCGAGAATTTGACGATCTTTGGCTTTTAGTATTAGGGCCGGGTTTCTTTTTGTACTGGTCGAATGCCTCCTTCAGCATGTTCTCTTCTTGTATCCAGTTTGGTCCTCGTCTCTTGCGCGCGATCTCGTAGTAAGCCTCTCCCTTGTACTTTTTGGTGGGATCAAAATTGGCTTGGTCCAGAAGCAGCCGGACGACCTTGATGTTTTCTTGGCCGATGGCGGCGAGCATGGGTGTCGCATATTCGTTGGTCGAAATGGGTTGTGGATCAGGGTTTGCTCCTCCGATAGCCAGCAGCAACTGCATGACCAAATCGTGACCACCACGAGCCGCAGCGCACATGGATTCAGGGTCGTCGAAACCGTCCCTGACTTGAAGAATCCGTAGGACAGTCTCTTCATCTCCCTTGGCAGCGGCTGCACGAAGCGTCTTGTCATCCATGGGCATGTAAAGAAGATGGTTGCTGGTCTTGGTAGCGCGAACGGTACCGGCACGCCGTCCACTAGACAGGTTGACGGAGGCGGAGGCGGAGGCAGGTGAATGCCGAGGGCTGTCTGGACCGTGAGATGAGCGTGCGTCGGTTGCGTGATCGTAGTGGTGATCTTCAGAGGTCGGTCTACGCTCACCCATCCTCTGCTTTGCTTCGTTGATGGCGCGTTTGATATCGTCGGCATTGTCGTGCTCCTCGTTCACCCGGTCAATAGGCTCCTCACCATATGCGTTGGCCTTGCGCGGGTTCACTCCGGCGTCGAGCAGGACCTTGACGACCTCATAGTGGCCGTTCTCCACTGCATCTATCAACGGTGTGTCCTTTTCGTTATTAAGGCAATCGAGGTTGCAGCCGGCTTCGACAAGGAGTTTCACAATATCGTCATAACCATTGATTGCAGCGATCTGGAGGGGGGTGTTTCCTGCATAGTCGGCAACGTCGATGTCTTCGGGGCGTTCCTGCAGCCTCTGCTTGGCGAGATTGTATTCGCCCTTAGCACAAGCTCGGGCAAGGAAGGTCTGGCCGTGGGCGTCCAGGTGCTTCTTGTGCGGCGCCATTCTGCCGGCGGTCGAGTGTGTGGATTCGGCAACGGCCGGGGTAGCGAGACTGCGCAGTTTGGAGCTGCGCGGATGAGGGCTTCCGCGTTCCGAGGACTCATCAGAGAAATAGTCAGTCGAATGGAGGGGGGCAGGGGCGCGGCGCTTTTTCAGGCTCAATCCGTGGGCAGTGTGACCAGGAAGCTGAGTTGAGATGCTTCGACGGTGAGCTCGGGCGTGGGGGGAAACCGATCTGGTTCGTGTGGAGGCGTGCGGTTCATGATGGGAGGAAGACTTGTTCGGTGGAGGAGGATGGGGTCTGCGGGAAGCGTCGAGGCCAGAACCTGAAGTGCGCTGGCGGCGGACCTTGGGAGGCTCTGCCTCGTCGTCAGATTCGGCCTTGGGGTGCTTCCGCTTATTAGGCACGACTTTGTTGTTATCGAGCGATTTGGGCGGCACCGGCTTGTCCTGTTGTGTAGACTGTGCTGGCAGCTTGGAGAAGGAATCCACCGGGGCGGGCTCGGAGTCTGATTTTGAGTGGCCGTTGGACGAGCGGCGACGACGCTGGGGTGGGGACTCTGGCGCAGAGCTCAATCCACTCGATCCATCCTTGGCCTTTGCCTTGTCGGGAAGCTTCCTCTTCTTGGCCCCCAGTGCCCCCAGCGAGGAGGAGCCCACTGAGCCCTCATTGGAGCCGTTGGGGCCATTACCTGCGACCGCGACGCTCCTGTCAGGTTTTTCGCTACGATCGCCTCTGTCGCTCTCACGGTCCTGCTGCTGTCTGCTGCTGCTGTGGTTAGAGCGCTTGCGGTGCGACGAGACGACATCGTCGTCATCACTGCGATTATCGTTTGGTTGTTTGGCGACGGGCTTGCGGACTTTGACGGGTGAGTGGTGGCCGTCCTTTCCCGGCAGCACAATGGTTTCGGCGTCGCTGTTGCCCTCGGCCGTTAAGGAGTCGTTGTAGTCCTCGTTGCTATTGTTGGTCTTGTTGTTGTTGTTGTTGTTGTTGTTGTTGTTGTTGTTGTTGGTGGTGTTGGTGTTGTTGCTGTTGCTGGCGGCATTGCTGGCGTTGTTGTTGCGATGCTTGTTATCTCTATCATTCTTGTCGCTCCTGAAAATGGGGTCGAATCTCGCACTGGTCGACTGCGTTGTCGACGCCGACGATGTTCGGATCACGGTGGAGGACCTGAGTTGATCGGAATCGCTGCCCTGGCGCTTGGGCGAAGCAGCTCTGACAGCAGGCTTCTTGGAGGCGGGCTCGACAGCATTCTGCGCATCCATGTCATTTACTGAGTTGACAAAACACCGTTTTGCACCATCCTGGTCGCTGCTCGGCCGGGGCTTTAGAAAGTTGGGGGGGATCCGGAGACCGGGACGGAAGATGGCGATGGGGGAGCAGGTCGAAGTTGAAGAACGATGCGCTGTTGGTTGTGTGGTTTGGCCGCAGATAGCGTTGGGAGGGTGTGGTGGTGAGTTAGGGTGTCAGAGCCGATGAGTAAGTTGGGCTTTGGATGTTTCGCGCAGACGACGAAGGGCGTGACAAGGCGGGAATGGAACTGGAAGAGAGGAACTGGAACGGGAACTGGAACTGGAACTGGAACTGGAACGGGAGAGTCGAGACGGGTAGTCCTAGATGACGGGGAATCCGCTACCGCACAGCCGCCCCAGAAGAACAGCGGTAGGCAAAAGGTAGGTAGACAAGGTAGGCAAGGTCAGGCAGGTAGACCTAGGTACAGCTGGGCAGGTACTTTTTCTCAACTTGTTTGGGGGGTTGAAGTGCCAAAACCAATGCCAATGCCAATGCCAATGCCAATTGCCAGCAGTCGAGGATGGATCCGTATCTCTCAACTCCTGAGAAATGAGGGACCCGACAAATGGAACTTGTAAGACGTGACCGCAGAATGAACCCCCCTGGACGATGGGGGAAAAAAAAGGTACGGGAGGGTCAGGAACGGTAATGGTAACAGCGACAACGGCAGGGAGACACGCTAAATCCGATCTTGAATTCCCGAGTCCAGCTTCACTGATGAAAAAGTACGCAAAGTGCGAGCCCTTCGTTGATGGGGAAATCCAGGAGATTACAAATCCGAGCGGATGGAACTTAGAACCTTGAGAGGCGGGCCGCAGTTGGGAATTGAGTTGGATACGGACCGAGCGGACAATGAAAATGGATGGAAAAGACGGAAAAGATGATGGTAGAACACTGGCTTTGGGTTGTGAGCACACTAGCAAAGTAGTAGAATCGATATATGGTACAATGAAAGCGATGAAAGCCTGCGTTTGGCAATGTAGAGCGATGAACTCGATGGGCAACGGCGTGAGCGGGATTCACGGATGAGAGGTTCAACTTCGATACAACTGTTGTAGAACGTAACCTGGAAGGCAGGAGCACACGCAATTATTCCCCTTCAATTTCAGTTTCGGAAAGAGGCGTTGGTACTGCTGGCCGGCTGGCTGACTGGTAGAATAGCTGCTGGACAACCGGCTACTTCCCGGCCTATCTAACAGTAGGGGCGGTGTTTGGGGTGTGTGACCGCCACTGCGGGCATTGCGGTGCGAACAACCCCGGGACGGGCGATGTGGAATCTCCAAAGAGACCGAACTGAAGCTAAAAAGCCAGTCCATCTCCGGTCGCTCCCCCTTCTTCCTCCGATGCAACGGAAAGCTGAGACGGGGTTTGAGCCACGACTGCGATTGACGAGTCCCATGGAAGTTCCATTTCTGGGGTCCACGATACCATCATTTGTTCAGGTCCGGAGGAGAATGGGAGGAGCCCCAGAAGTGGAAGAGGACGCTGCAGTGGACACTCGACCCGACACTCACCACTCGGCAGCAACCACGGTTTACAGACTTTACCAAGACAACTGGAACCACCACCAAGGAAAGAACGAACGGCCGAACTCTTGAGTCTTCCTTTGCTTCTCAGCTTTCCGCGGATTGCTTGGTGCAGGTGCTGCTGCTGCTGCTGCTGATGTTCACCTCTCGTCGCTCTCGTCTTGTCGGGGAAAGAGAGGACAACTCCCAAGTCTGGATCGCCACCCTCAACGCTGATTGGATGACCCCCTGTTGGTGCTGCAAATCCAATGCACGTCCTTCCTTGGCCTCCGTCTTTGATTTTCACACCTCACAATCGACCTGAATAGGGTCGCAGTGCCGAGTTCGTTGTGGTGAACAGAGTGGGAACAAGAATGTGCACTTTTGGTTTCTGCCTCTCTGCCTTTCTGCCTCACTGCCTCGAGATAATGCTGCATTTCTGCGCTGCTGCTGCTGCTGCAGCACTGCAGCACTGCATCAGCTTTCATCAATTTCCTTGACCGTCAGTCATGGTGACAGTCTCAGCTTAGGTTGCCGTCCGTACGCCGTGTCCCGTTCGGGGTGAGATGGGGTGTTGCGATTCATCGCATTGCTATGCGGTGGTTGGTGATGTTCAGCGGCACCAAGATACGGATGAGAGGTTTCAAAATGGGACTCGTTCATGTCGCGACCCTGACCCTGACCCTATCCGATGCCATGATTCATCCATCCCCGTTGAGGAGTGACGAGTCTTTCCTTTTTCCGCCGCTATTCCCAGACCATACGAGACTATTATAGTGTACACAACTGCCTCGACTGCGTAATGACTTTTTGTCATTTGGCCAAACTTGTCAGACTTTGCCTGGGGAGCCTGCCTGACACGGAAGAGGTGTGTTGCAGCAGCAACCCCGGCACACAGGCCCGGGTCTCAATCCCCATTTCACCGTCAGACGGGCGGTGGCGGCCTTGCATTTGTTTGGATCAGCAATCCCGCCCAATGCTTGGATGCTTGTTGACCTCTCGCTTTTTCTGTGTTGCCAGTGAGGCATGTTTCCCGATGTTTCACAGCCTGACTTGGTCCTTGGGCACGCCCTGCTGCTTTACCCGTTGATGGATGGAAGAGCGAGGGGGGGCGCCTGTCTTGGAAATGACTGAGATATCGCCGCCCGGTCTGCCTTGATGCTTTTCTCTCAACACTCGGGTTTCCCTTCTTCAACCATTGGCGTGGTTGGGGGCTTGAGTCTCCAGAGAGTCCAGACTACGGCGGTCTGCTTGACAACGGGAGCCAAGGCTTTTTGATGGCTCGGGCCCCGCCTTTTCTCTTCGCGGGCCCGCGGGCATTTCCTGGAGGACCCACAGCGGAGGCCCTCAAAGATACACCAAAAAAGACACGCAACCCCTGCTACCAATGGTGCTGATGACGCAGGCACTCCCAAGCCATCGACGCTATCTCAGAGTCCATGATTCGTTGCCATGAGACTGACGCCAACGACTCGACTTGATCTCATCCACGACCGCCCACTGCCCATTCGACCGTCCATCGATCGTCGTTCCCCATCGCTGTCTGGAGCCTCATCCTCAACATCAAAGCGCAAAACGAAGAACATCAAGAAGCACTGGGCGACAACGTTACAATGGCCTTCTCCCAGCTCAACCTCCCGCCTTCCCTCGAAACGAACCGTATAACAGCCCTGCCGCCCTCGGCCTACTACATTGCGGATTTCATCAGTGAAGAGGAGGAACAGCAGATTCTTGAAAAGGTATCATTATGATTAGCAAGTCGCTCCTTGGCTCCCTCTTCATTCTCTAATCACCGTGACGGGTAAACAAAGGTTGAGAGAGCTCCCAAGGCAAGATGGCGTCAACTCACCCATCGCCGACTTCAAACATGGCCCTCGGATCTGGTCAAAAATACCCTGCTAGATGGCCAACCACTACCAGACTGGCTGGAAGAACCCGTCATCTCGCGTTTACTTTCGGTTCCAGTATCGTCGTCCTTGTCCGGTAGCAGTGACGGTGACAAAGAGAAGAAGCAGCAGCACATCTTTGCGAACAGCCCCCACGGCCGACCCAACCATGTCCTTATTAACGAATATCCTCCCAACACGGGCATCATGCCGCACAAGGACGGAGCGGCCTACCACCCCGTGGTCTGCACAGTGAGTCTCGGATCTAGTCTTTGCCTCAACATCCACAAGGCCAAAGAGGATGGGGCCCTCGACTCGGAGCCCGTATGGAGAATTCTCCAGGAGCCGCGCAGCCTGTTAATCACAACCGCGGACCTGTACACTGAATATCTCCATGGCATTGACCCCGTTTCGACCGACGTGAACATGTCGGAGCAGACTGTTGCCAACTGGGGTCTTCTCCGCGAGCCATCACTGTACGAGAACGGGCAAAACCAGAGGGGAGTTCGGTTCAGCCTCACGTATCGCGATGTTCTGAAAGTTTCCAAGCTAGGGAGCAAGCTCGGTCCCATGTTCAATCGTCGTCCGTGAGTTGGAACAGGCAAACGGAACGAAGAAAAGAAAAGGGTCAGAAAATGAAGGGTATCATGTTCCACTTCGTTTCTACCGCCTTGCTCCCAAACTTCTCGGCGTACCACTTACGCGTGCCTGATGCCGTCACCCCGAGGTTGACCACCACAAACGACAAAGCGCACAAGAGTGTCTTGTTGAGCAGTTCTCCCTTGGAAGCGGCAACGATCGCGAGTGAAAGATAGACCAGGCATTCGCAGAAATAGTGAGGACAGATCAGGTAGCGGAACAGCCCAGTTCGGGAAGGGAATACTTCTTCAACCCCGCGAGATGTCTGTGACAACTGTACTGGTTGATCGAAGCGTAGAGGAACATGACGATGGCAACCAACGTCTTGAGCAACGGCATGCCATAGTCGGTGGCTCCTGTGAATTGGTGATCCAGTATGGCCCCTAGAACACTAATGTTAACACCAAGAACGTATTCAAAGACAAAAGAAAGAGCCACCATGGACACCTTACCAGATCCCTCAACCCAAACAGCCACGCTGGTAAACAGATAGTAACTCAAACCCAAAACCCAGTGCACGATCCACATGGTAGATTTGGACTTTCCGTGCACCAACGAGTCTTCGTACAGCCGCCTGCTTCCCTGGAGGAACATCATGGTCCAAGCCAGACCGACTTGGCCGATGGTAACTGAAGAGTCGGACGTTTCTCCTCCTCCTCCTCCTCCTTCTCCTCCTCCTCCTCCTCCTTCTCCTCCTCCTCCTCCTCGTCCACCCTTCGCCGAAAAGGCTTGGGCTTGAGTGACTTGACTAGAAGCAACCGCCCTCAACAATCCCCCATCAACAGCAAACTGCCAAAGCCATAACAAGGAGCACGCCACGGACGCCACGTAAAACGTGATGAACCATGAGTGAGGAACTTGACCGTAGGAGGTGAGTGTGTTGATTAGTGAGAGTAACCAGTTACCCTCACCACCATCCCCACCATTTCTGTCTACCTTGCCCCTGGCTTTAGCTTCTCCGCTGGCATCGTTGTCGTTCTTCCCCTTCCCTTCCCCTCAGATCCAGATCCAGACTGAGACTGAGAGGAGAACTGAGACACCTCAGCAGCCTTCGACTTCCTAGCCCCGTAATCAACCAACAACCTCCTCACCTCCTTGGGCATAGCAGCGACAGCCACCACCGCGCCCGCGGCAAAGAGGTAATAGGCTTGACACCATTGCGAGGGGGTGGCGCTTAGCACGGCTGCTAGGCCAGTGTTGTCGAGCACTAATGGCTTCCAGTCTAACATTTTCAGCTCTCAGGGAACAGGGAAGGACGGAGGGGGTATGTAAGATGGAACAAATTGGTGTTGGTTTGGCTTTGGGTCGTGATATGCTGGGCGAATATGAGTGGTTAAATATCTTTTTTATGAATAGCTCCGATATCTATCTCAGTTTGAGACTTGTTCGAATGTCCGATGTCCGGTGTCTGTTGAGTGGTCGTCGCTGAGTCCGTCGCTTATTTAGGTTGTTGTGGGTGTTTACTGTTCGTTCCACTAGTAACGCTTCTCGACGAACAGTCCGACCCTGTCGGCTTTCCACGTGTTTCTCCTTCTCTTGTTCGTCAATCAAAGTCCGACGAGGGTCGTCAGTTCCTTGTCAGTTGGACTTGCCTGTCTCTCTTTCCTCGGGGAGCATGTGAAGTTGTCAGCCAGGCTCGCTCATGACAAATTTATGGTTACCGTGTATCGATTTTACCCCTGCTAATACGCCTTGGCAAAGCATTCACCACTTTCCTGTCCCCAAGAAACGACGCTTTTCATCACCACCACAAACCCAAAAACTTGTCAGATGCTTAAAAATCGGATGAGTCTTAGAGCCTCGTTAGTCTGTATTTAGAACTGATTGTTTTGGTTGAATAGTGGCCGAGTTCTGGGTTATCAAATCCAAGGGTCCTTCGCGCGGTAACCATAAATATGTCATGGACGAGCCAGGGTTCAGTGTTCGTTGGCAAGCGCGAACGCTTCCTGCAACCTCAAATAGCGCATCGTCCGGTTGGTCCGTGCTTGGCTAGCGGACTTGCGGGCAGCTGCGAGTGACCTCGATTGACATCCACGCAACGGTGAAAAACTTCGGTGCACAGCAGGTGAAAATGATGATTATTTGTTCGTACCGTAGTTAAATACTTCACAACATTACCGAAAAGAGGGAGAGAGAGGGGTTGTAGACAGGTCCGGGGTGGTGATATTTCCATCGCCAACAGGGAAAAACAGAAACAAGACTTTTAAAAGAAATATCGGTGATGTATTTGACTACTGATTAAGTCTAATCTCTAAAATGATCATCTCTGTCCCATGAATACATTTCTTTTTCTCCTGACCCAAATATTTTGATCTTTACCCAGCCATCATAGGATTCTAAAAGGTGAGGCCACCCGGTGACCAGAATTCGGGGACTGTGGCGATAGAGGAACAATAGGAGAGAGACTGATAGTCACACTAGTGGCACCATCAGCACCTGAACCCTCGTGAGTTAGATCCGTACTGATGACCAAGTCTTCCTGTCCCTTGAGGTGCAACACAATCGTCAATCCCTGGATACCTTGACCTGGGTCATGGTGACAACCGGCTTCCTCTTTCGGCGTCCCTTCTTCTTGCCTTACAATCTCTTGTGGTGGTGGTGTTGATGATGATCTGTGTTCGTGATGGCCTTCATTCGGGGGTGTCTCGTCGTCAGAGCTCGTCCTCTCTTGACCAACCCGACGAAGACCACTACGGTGATCATGGATATCAGCAGACGACGCAGTCGGGGCTTTCTTCGGTGGTGGCCTGTTGCCTATCGTCTTAGCAGTGGAGGTAGAAGAAACATTGGAGTTAAGCAAAGGTGCCGTCTCACTCTCCCTTCTGGTTGTTGCTCTGTGGCTGCTGCGTTCTTTCCTGTCGAAGATGATATCACAAGACTGATAGGATGTCCCCGAGGAGCGCGAGGGAAGTGATGACAAGCCTGTAGCATCACTGTGATTCGGACGGTCTATAGCCCCAACTGGCGAAGGAGCCTGAGAGCGTTTCGTCCGTTGTCCAGTAGGCTGCCGGGTCGATTGTCGTGATGAGCGTTGTTGGAGCTGATACTGTTGCTGTTGCTCTAGCCACCGTTGGCTATGGCTGCCAGACGAATGTGTGGTAATAGGCGTCGGTGTTCGATTCTGACTGTGACGTCTATTGCCACCAGCGCTTTTTGCGCCTTTTCCTGAAATTGGAGTAAGCGTTCGGCCCGGTCGTACTTTTGGAGTTGTGACCACGCTGCGAATAGTTGAGGGGGTAGAATGGCCTGAATGCGTAGAGCGACCTGAGTATACAGAACGGCCCGAGTACGTGGGGTCGGACTGCATTTCTGAAATTCGGTTAATGACTGTGGCCAGCCCAGCCTTGTTGCCGCTCCTGCTGTCTGCTTGGAGCGGATGCCGGCTCCCCTTGCTTGACTTGGAGACCTGCTCAGATACCGGTAAACTGAGGATCCGCGCCTTCAGATCCTCGCTAACTTTGCGGTTGATCTTTTGGGCGTGCCTATATTGTGTTGTCTCTTCCAGGAAATTGCCGCTATGTTGGTAATCTCCGTGCTCTCCTTGTCGCTCATGTACACCGTGACCCGAGTCCTCTTCGCCCTGCTTTACAGAACGTTGCTCCTGCTGACGAAGCTGAGGAAAATATGGGTTGATGACCGTTCCGGACGCTGATGTGTCCTTAAAGGCATGACTACCGACAGAGACACCTGTCCGTCCACTGTCACCAGTAATGTAATTCGTAGTTGTAGCCGTACTGGCCAGACTTCCAGTCCGAGTGCTACCTGCAGGAGGTTTGCTTCCCCTTGTCCGCTGAACATTGCCGCCCGTTCTCGTCGACGGGGACTTGAGCCATAGCGGTGGACTGGACACCTTCACCTTGGGCATATAGTACCGAGTGGCAGTATTACCACTACTACCGCTGGTACTTTTAATGGTCTCGACGTCCGGTCCTGGAAATTCCTCCGATGCCCGTGAGCTTGGCCCATTCGCGAGTTTTCTGGCCTGTCGTTTCACCGCTGAGAACTGTCTTGCCATAGCAGGTTGAGCGGGCCTCATCTTATGAACATGGGGAGCGGGTAGAGGGGGAGACGGCGATACATCAGCTACCGCCTTTGGTGGTGAGATCCACCTGCTCGTATCAGGTGTCTTTCTGACATCGATGGACATTGTACGAGGAGGAAGGAAAATGGGTGGTGGTAAAGGCGGGTGAACAGGGGACGGAGAGAAAGGATCAAGGGTTCCCCGTGTCCCTTCCGATGACACGCTATGCGTGTCTCGTACATTGCGAACAGATGAAGATACGTTCTGTGTGGGTGTTCCTTTGCTGTACTTGGTGATGGCCTGGTTGAATTCCTCGAAGGTGTGCCGATGCGATGATGATCTGTCTTTAGGCTTAGGCGGGCTTGTTAGCCCTGTTTCATTTTGCACGGTGGATGATGTTTTGCGACGTTCTGCTTCGTGAGAGCCTGCGAGTTCTTGACTGGCGTTTCCGGCTTGTGTAAGTGTAGAAGCTTCTGTTGATGACACCAATGTGGGTTCGGCTGTCGAGGTTCGTGAATCAGAGGTTATTATTTTGGCATCCCGGTCGGCGACAACAAAGCGGTTGCTCTTCTTTAAGTAGATGGTCAGTCAACCTGCTTGACAATGTCTGAGTGGGCAAAGTGATATTCGAGCTTTGTACAGGAAAACAAGGGGGAAAGTCGGCGGAAGTTCAGTGGGGCTTGAGCGCAGGCCATGCCAAACAAGATATCAAGAGAACGGGGATCTCGAATGCTCACCACTGATTCCCTCTTTCCAATGGCTTCCCTCTGGACGTTTGCCGTCGTTGCCTCACTCGCCGCGGACGATGATACTCCTGGCCTTTCATCAGGTACCGGATCTGGTTCGCGATTTTTCTTCGTGGGCTTCCCCGTAGGCATGGGGGGCTTCACGGTATTGGGACTAGGATCAACCGACCGGAAAGGGTCAAGAGCCTGGGATGATGTGACCACTTTGGTGACGTTTTCCTCCGCAACGACTTCCCGCTGGCAACTTCGGCAAAAGGGGTGGCCACAAGAGGGGCAATACAACTGTGTCTTGACATCACCGCCACACATATGGCAATGAAAGATCTTCCAGAACCTCCGAACTCTCGACATGTCGACGCCTTCGGGGTGCAGGTTGTCGTGTTGCTCCATGATAATCGATTCACCTTCTTCGTCGTCTTCGTCTCCTCTGTCCGATAACTAGCCGGGAGGTGGTGTTATGCCGTACTGGTCAAACAGCTGCTTCGCAGTCATACGATGGCCGCTGACTGGCGAGGGTTTAGCGACCGGTCCCGTGCGACTGGCCCAGTGATAAGCGGGCGAGGGGTTGCCTTCGCGATTTTTGGGTGTGCCAGTTTTTGATCGTGGGTTGAACATTTCCGGCGAGTAGAATGTTCGATACTGAGGTGACACTTTGGGACTGTCCTTGGGACGGTTTTGCTAGGACTTGTCCCAGAATGCGTGGTTCCTGAAGTCGATTGGGTTGTCCCCCGGTTCAATTGTTCTTTTGTGCGTCGCTGGCTGTACGAAACATGCCTCGGCGGCAGACTTGCGCCCCCAACCAAACTATATTTGCAGATTTCTTGATTAGACAAAAGTAGAAACGGTTGGGTATGGTAGCCTGATTTTCAGAAATGGATCTCGGGTGCAGCAGAGAAATCTGGTTCTAGGGTCAAAGTTAGTTGCGCGCAAACATACATGTTCACTCTTCCGATCGTGTTGCATAGTACAAATCGCTCCGGAAGCCCTGTCTTGTGCCTTTGATAAGGTCAAAGGGGTAATGGGGTGGCTTTAGGTTGTGGCTACGCGGGCTCTGAGGATGCTGCAGAGTAGGTATGGGCGTCTCCTGTCGTGTCGCTTTCAGTTGCTGAACGCGAAAAAATGAACGCCTGGTCGGGTAAGAGATTCACTAAGAATGTCCATCGTAGGTTAAGTAGGAGGTTGGTTATGGTAGTCGGCGTGAGGTGGAGGAGGTAGGTAGTAAGTAGAGTTGGAAGTTTTGTTGTCGGTCATCTGCTCGTAAGACGCAAGGTACTTGCCCTTTTCCAAACGGAAGTAGCTCATGAGGTCCATATTCGTGCTTTCCTACAATTAGTAAGATGGATATTGTCTGAGGCGTGGCAGTCACGACGGCCAGTCACTGGTGCCCCTGAAGAGGCAATATCTGTGCACACCCAAAGCAGCATGTTCAGACGTTCTCTCCTTAACTAAGATGAGGAATCTTGGTGTATACTACAGTGGGGTAGAATTAAGGATGATGATACATCTATTTGAGAACGGCCTGGAGGGACTCGAGGACCTACGTCATCTTGTTAGTAACCAAACCACACGTACGGCGCAACCGCACCCAACTGCCCGATCTCCTGAACTTACCTCGAGCTCAACCTGGGCCTCGGCGATATCCTGCTGGCTACCACCACCGCTGACAATCTTCTGGGCCTCGGCAATCTGGGCGCGAACAGCCTCGGCGCTGAAATCCTCAAGGGCGTAACCCTCAACGGCGTTGATGCTGAGCTTAGAGCCGGGCTGGACAACGGCGAAGCCACCGGAAACTATAACATCTTGTGTAAGCCCAAAGGGTACTTTGTTATGGACGCTATTTGCTGTTGCTGCGGCCGCTGGGGTTGCGCTTGCGGAGGACTATGACGTACGGAAGTACTGCTTGTTGCTGCCGCTCTCCTCGATAACCTCGACAAGGCCGGGCTTCAGCTGCTCGATGGAGGGAACGTGGTTGGCGAGGACACCCATCTCACCGGAGACGGCGGGGATGTTGACCTGGACGACATCCTGGGACTTGTAGATGGCCTATATGCGGCAATAACTCGTCAGCACGGCGCTGGACCATGATGGCATTCTCGGGCACATGTCAAGGTGGCATCGGATGGGCGTAGTCGAGCATCGATCGGACATGGTGGCAATCGTACCTGGTGAGGGAGGGAAAGGCTGAGCTTGATCTACATGACATGCGACAACAGTTAGAGCTATGATAACGATACGGGCGGGAGCTTGGGGCCTTTTCTGGAACTTCAACATGCCTTGTCGGCGACGGCCTCAGCATAGCCTCTGCGCTGGAGGGGAGCGCGGACGGCAGTGGAGCGCACCCGGAGGGCGGCACGAGCAATACGGAGGGAGTTCATGGTGATATGCGGTCTCAATTGAGGGCAGGCCGTCGTCGTTGTCGCGATCGGTCGTTCCGTCGTCAAGCAGTTTTGCCAATGGCCCAATGCTAGTATGGAGTACCGACCTCAAATTCGCTTAGCCGGGATCCGGGAACAAGGAATAATGTTTGTGCGGGGCCCGTTCTCTGAGAGCTTCAGGTCTTTAGCGGCGTCAGCACCCCGAGGGCACAGAGGGAGCTTCTCTCCCAGCGAAACATCAAAAAGCTTGGCAGAGAACCTTGACGTCGGGGACGCTCGGGATGGTTCTTGGCCCTGCGGAAACTCCCGTTCTTCGATGATGCAACAAAAAGGACGACACACCGACTTAAGATTTTGCGCGCCAAAACATCAAGGAAATCAGCTTTATCGGTCTATCGAAGCTTTTGTCCAAACACATGCACGTCGTTCGACACACGCCTATGCCTCGTTCCACCGACAGCGGAGCACGAACCACCTTCCCGAACAGAGCGACGGCGAAGCTGCTCCAACCAAAGCTCCCACCGGCTCCGTTTTTGCGAACTCGAAAAACGGCTGCCTGGCCTTTGGCTCACCTGCACCTGGTCAATAGTATCATGAAATTCACCAAACACCATTGCAACAACGGCACATCTCAGAATTGCCATGTCATTTCTCACATTCACAACCTCCTTCTCTGCATCTTCACGTTCCTCCATACCCGGGACTTGCAAATCATAAATAACCTTAAGCGCATAATGTATGCGGTACGACCTGAGAAGGACCTCAGCAAATTCAATACCGGCAAGTTTAACTTCATTTAAGTTTGGGCTGAATGCTTGATATCTCGTTTAGGCGTCCCGGTTGTGTCAGCGCTTGCAACTTTGGACTCATGATCCTCTGGCCAGTCTCCGATCCCTGATGGCTTCACCACGCTTATCACCGGGCATCTCGAGCGTCCCCATGTGTTTCCATGCTGGAGGGACCGACCGACAACAACGACTATGATCACAAACTATGCCGCTATTCCCATGATACGTGCACATTGGACCCCGTGGCCTTTCTTAATCCCTCATTGGCATCAATCCACGCCATCGCAATCGCATGCCATCGGACAACCACCGAGATTCTTATGCAGGCATTGCACCAAGGGTCCATAGGGCTAATGAGGACGGGTCGGGGCCAACCACAGGGAGTCAAAATGACCGGGAATCACCAAATCCGTCCCGGAATGCGCAACACTACATGTCGATCCTCCTCCGACGAGACCGGCCTTTCCTGCTTTGGTATGGATGAATGCAAGTGTTATGCACAAGTCAGGCCATGCGAGCCGCACGCTTAATGTCTCCTCCCATGCCTTTGCCAACCACTTCATCGCCAAAAAGCTGCTTCTGCCAACTTTGTCGCCTTGCCAAAAGGACTATCACAGCCAAGCGCGCAAAAGGGCCGGTTTGTCTCGGGGCCCGCGATATCAAATTCTTATCCCTGAGCCCGACAGTCAGGCGTGACCAGATGGGTAGCGTGTAGTTTACCCAATGGGCCTTTCAAGTTGTTGAAACATCTTTGCCAGGAAGCGCTTGCTTCTCGCGCCTCGAGTGAAAATTCGCTAGGATCGGCACTTGATTCGGTTGCCTCCGAGCAACGAAGCAACATGAGGTCCCAAAAGACAACTGGACATGTGGGCTCGAAGTCATCACAAACCGAGGTGAGATGGATAGGGGCTTTGGGAATGCCTGTTGTTGATATTGGGGCCCTGACTCCTTTCGAGATAGTGACACTCCCACACTCCGTTGGATGGGAGCAGTTATCTCTCTGACATCCATTGCCATCCAACCGGTGCGGTAACACAAGATCCAGTTTCTTGCTTCACCGCCCTAACTGTCGGAACGTGCTCTTATCGAAGGCGTTGTTGGGCTTGGCCACTCTTCGAAGCGCCTGTCGAGCGTATGGCACGCTTTTGAAAATTCGGTGCTTGCTCATCAAACGTAAGCCATCTGATCAGCGGTGGTTGATTGAAGAGGATTGGCAGCTCAGCCTGGACCTCAGCATGGCGGTTTTGGAAGAGGCTGAGGAACACTTGTCGCGCAACCTGATCGTCTGGTTCTGTCTGATCTCCCGTCGGATTTCCAAATTCGTCTCAACCAAAATCTCCGGCCATGCGATCCCTTTCGGAATGCGGGGTCAGGTCCCATACCGGGTGTTTCGTTTCATTATCCCGTCAAGCGAGCGTGGGGTGTCTTTTCCATCGAAACACACAAAACTGACACCTTCCGTAACGTTATTCGCAATGCTGACTGATTGGTCGCGTTGAGCTTCGGGATGACTGGTGCCTGCAATGGTTGCGTTGTGCGCTTCCATCCTTTCGCTTCAGCACAGGCACATTGGGTCAAACACGAACGACGACAGCAACGACACCTTCGGAATGTGGCTGTCGCAGTCAGAGTCAGTCCCACGCAGGCTAGCGTTGAAGACTGGCCGGCGGCTTGGTCGTTTTCGGTATACGCAGCACGTCGTTGTGCGGAGGGTCACATCGCCGGTGTCCACCCCCAAAGTCAAATGCAACGTTTATTAAATAAACGTCAACATAACGGAGTCAGCCTCCACGTCCAGCGGTTCTCTCAGAGGAGCCCACGAGCCGTAGCGCGGACAAGCGAGGAGAAAGCGTACCAGAGAGAAAGTGGAGATGTGAGCTTCTTGAGACGTCGCTGAACTCGGATTCTGATGATGACAAGTTCCACGATCAAAGTGGACATCAGAAACGGGCATCAGTTCCCTTTTGTCCGCTGGTATCCTCTTGCGTGATGCTCCAAAGCTCCTCATCATACCGCTACGGTTGCCTATCTCGCCTCTAGTATCCTCTCTGGTCGTTCAAATTCATGCTCTTCTCTTCAGTATCGCAAGCTTTATCTATAGGGGTCCACAGGCGCCCTTTTGGGCTTATTTGTACTCTAGTCTAAACGGGCGTACAATTTCTATAGTCATCAAGATGAGATAATATTGGTGCTTATAGGCAAAGTGTGGGATATGACTTCCATCTTGGCTTCTCCAGAACGATAGGCTCGCTAGAGAGGCTAAAAGCTGAAGAAGCGGAATGCTCATGATTCTGCATGTCAGCCAAACACTTTACCCCCCTTTTTTGCTCTCTGCGGACAGCCGCATAGGGGAATTCCTTCCGGGATGACAGACACCGACATGTTTTGAGTCTGGTGACCTTGTGGTTCACGAAGCCCTACCCATCCGCCCATATCAGCAAACAGTCAGCTGCAAGCCTTCTGCAGGTAAGGTAACTGTCTCGCTGGCAACCCGTCGCCTACGTGTACGACACCCGGAAACGAAATGGGTAGAGATTTGGCAATTGCATGTCACTTTCGATACCTGTGTTCTGGTCGGGCATGCGGTTGGTGGAACCCTAAACGCAAATCATTTCGCAAACTCATCCCTACCTCATGCGAAATTGCTTCTTGGGGTACAGTAGCTTCCATCTGCGCAACCAGCATGAAGGTTCCGAAGCTTTTTGTAAAAAAAGATGGTGAATTTACGGAAAGAAAAGTCGAACGTCACCTTCTGCAAAGTCCAGGTCTACGGCGAAGCCGGCGAGAGAAGGGACTCCCTGTAGAGAGATTTTACTGTAGCACTCAGTTGGTATGTACGGTGGGTGCTTCGAGAACAGAAACGTAAAGGGGGTCCCTGAATCACAAGTACTTAACTGCGCAAAACCTGCTGGTGGCTACTGGAACGGAGCAACAGGAACCTTGCAAGACCCAATTCCATGACAATTTGTTAGTGGGTCCCACGGCACTCTTGGCATGCCCATGGTTATTCACCATGGGCCCCACTCGTGCCCTGGGTCTGCCCACCGTTTCTAGACCTCCCGACCTTTCGTTCTCCTCTCTTCTCCAGAGCATCAATCCACCACCATACCTATCGATCTGCTGTTGTTGTTGCTCGTGATCTCACACAATTTCGTCACTACACCGCAGTACATGGCTGACGCTGCGCATAACGCGGATGTAATTGTTCTGATGTTATGCTCTGATGTTATGCCCAGGCCTTATGCCCGACAGCCACGCAGCAGCATGAAAGTTGAATGCTGTCAGGATTTTCATAACCACGCACAAAATCCAAGACACAAGAAACTTGATTGAATCGCCAAAGGATGACGAAGTCGATTACTACAGCCCAGTATAGGGGCGTGCATGGACAGAAACATGGAATGGTTGGGCAGGTGCTACGGTAGCCGTGGATAGCCTGTCCTACCTGTCTTTTCTGGCTGTTCTCGTCTACAGTACGTACCATTTTGCTCGCTGCAGTTGCGGTACATACCCGAATGGGAGGGTGTCAAAAATTGGCGTGGACGTGTCGGAGTGGATTCTATGTAATGGACTTTCCAGCTGTCGCATTCCCTTGTCAAACTGGAAGCTTCAAGAGAGTTTGCCCGCCGTTGTTGAGCTCGGCACCGGACGGCATCCCCTATACTTACCAGCCTCCGTTCTGTTCAGTCCTCCGTTGTCCGGCCGTCTGAACGGGGCTCCTGGATCACAGCAACAACTCTTTACCATCTCCTCAAGGTGGAACAAATGCCCCGAGTCGTGGTTTTCTTGGCCATGCTTGGCTCAACGAGATCACAGCTGATCTCTGGCTGTTATCACACAACGGTGAAGTGTCACCATGAGAGTCCCAGTGCAAGTAAGGTGCCACAAGGACGGAGCGGCGCCATGATGGAGCCCAGCTTGTGTTCAGAGAAGACTGGAGAGGGACCTGATCCGACCTCCTCCGGCGAAGTCGGACCCCCCTGACCCCCTGACTTTTTGAACTTCTTGCGGCTTTCGACGGTATGCCGGCGATTGGATGTTGGACGGATACGTACCAGTGCGAGTACCACCTGCTTTTTAACAGAAGCTCCAGAAAGACAGGTGCTCCAATCCGAAGTTCCAGCGAGCGGGCTCCGGTTCCCACTTCATCTCTCCATCCACTGGAAGCAATTGAAAAAAAAAAATCAATCTTCAGAATCTGCCAACAAAGCGCAGGTGCCCTCTCCCATGCAGGCGGGCCATGTCCATCAACAATTGTCCGCTGGCCGATCATTCGTTCCCGACCTCTCCTTCAGTGGATATCGAAGAGACAAAGGACTCGAAAGGAGGCCCTGTACGCCTGATGAAAGGCTCGAAACAGGGCGTCGAGGGCGTATAGAGAGACAACAAAGAGACAAAGCCAAGCACCAAACGTAACGGTGGGAGGCTTGGCAGAGGAGCTTCAGTTTGGAAACGAGAGCTGTGCAAAGGTGCCAAGAGTCCAAGACACCCAAGACAAAAGCCGTGACACCCGTGTCTCTGCGAGTGTGTCCGCCGCCGCCGCCTTCCCGCCGCCGCGTTCGCCGGGCTTGCCCTTTGGTGTAACGACCCCTACCTTACTTGTGGTGCCAGCCCTAGGTGTGTACCTGTGGCTGCCATATGGATGGATATCCTCACCCTTTGTTTTACATGTTGAGTTTCTTTGTGTGATGGTCAGGTTTGTTTGTCTGCCATCACGTGCCGGTCCGTTGCAACACATGGACGAGAAGATGGTGTGGACAATGCTCCGGCTTACTGAATCAAACCATATGAGCGACAGTGAGCGACAGGAGCAGAATGTCAGGAATGTGTAACGATAGGTAGAGGCGAGGTTTGAACTGCACGTGTGGTGGTCGGTAGGAGTACACGTACGTGTAACTCGCAGATATTGGCCGGTTTCTTATGGCCTGCCTTTATGTATGAGTTGCCATAGGGGCACACGAACACCAAAGAAGGCAATCACAAGCTTACGCCTCCCACCTTTTGCCCGGTTGAAACGTACACAAACACGGCAAGTGAAGAGGTACTGTAGCCGATCTCGACCCCGCGGTGCGGCGGTGCTCGTGATTTACACCCGTTGATGCGGAGAACGAGGGCTTTGCCGCGAGAGCATTGAGACAGAGACACAGTTACCAACATGGTTCCAAGCGTGGTGTTGATGCCCTGATGCCCAGCTTGGGCAGCTCTGGTCTAGTCGAGGGCGTATAAGAAATGTCAATGAGCCCAAGCACATGAGGCTCTCACTCACCTTTCAGCTCTCTTGCTCTATCAACCCGCGAAGGGACCGCGGCCAAGGCTCTCACATAACCTTCCGTGTAAGCCACCGAACACCCACGCAAAACCACGGCAAAGACCCAGATCAGTCTCGTCCGGTCCCGTTTTGTTCCCTGCTTCAAGGGACCTGGAGGGTCGCACATACACACCAAAGAAAACTTTTTTTTTCATTTCGTTTTCAATCTTGCTCTGCTCCAATCCTTCCACTCGGGATCTTGTGTCCTTGGGACTCGGTACCCGGACGTAGAACGGAAAGAGAAAGGTCTGAGTTGGGGGACCCCATTTCTTGCTCGCCATCGCGCATCCCCAGCCGGCGGCTTGCCCTTGTTTAGTTCCAACATTCAATTTTTCTTTCGTGCTTGGCCCGTACATTAGGGTCAACGTTACGTTAGCTCGAAGGACGTCAGGGTACCCTCAGCACTAACAGCAAAACGGTTGTCGGCTTCTGTGTGCGCCTCACCAGCGTCCAAGACCCACTTGACGTCCACTCTGCATCGCCATTTGGCAGTGCAATTCATCAGCAATCCTTCCGCTTCGCTGCAATCGCTCAGCATCTCACTGTCAGTGTCATCCCACGCCGCCCCACCTTTGCCATCTCACGGACTACCAGAAATCGAGTTAGCGTGGTTGGTTCCCCTCCCTCTCCCTGGCCCTTTTCGGCTTCCCTCTCGCAGTGTTTCTCTCGGTTGCAGAACCCTGGGACCCGTTTGCTGGCTGGTGCTGATGCTGAGGTGTGTTGTTGCGCAGTGCAAGCCTGTGCCACTCAGGCCGCGAACCCCTCTCTGTTACTTTCGAGATTCCTCCCAGCAAAAGAAAAGGTACGTACCTCTCTACCTTTTGGTGCTTTGATCCCTTGCCCTTCCCGATTGTTCGTTCGTCCGCCCGCCTTGCCCTTTTCCTTTTCGGTGCCGGTGACCCTTGCCCTGCCCGTGGTGCCCTTGCTCTGTCCTTGTTGGCCCTCTGGAGGTTTCCAGTTCCATGCCAGCCAGCAGCATTGCGCCAGTTGCGCGCGCGAATCCACAATGCATCGACATCCATTCGCATCAGGCGGTTGACCTCTCATCGGAAGGGTACCTGGTACTATGGTACGTACCGGTGGAGACCCGCACACTTTCAGTTTCCAAAGAGCCAAGGCTCCATCCAACCCATCACACCAGTGGCATCCCGTGCACGAGTGGTGCACCCCCCTCCACACCCCCAAAATCGCAAGTCGCACCCCCATCCCGCACTCCATAGCAGGCACTGCAGACTGGTTCTTGCATTTATTCGATATTCCCACGATTCCTCCGTTTCTGTGCCTTCTGTTGTTGGTTCCTTCATCCTGATATTTTTGGCATTTCCCACCCTCCTGCCAGCTGATCGCCTTTGCGCTTTCCATCTCTGTTTCCTTCTTCTTTTCTTGCCTTTCCTCCCCGACATCTGCCGAGGACCCTTTCCTTCCATCCCGTCACTGACAATAGCCTTCTAGAAGGAGTCTTGGAGTCAGCGTACAATTCTTGTTCCGGTTCTTCGCCACGGTTCCAACGGGCTACCTCTTTGGCAACTTAGACGTCATCCAACCACAACAACACACGCAACCTACCACTTTACCCTTAGACCACTTGCTAGTTGCTCTTGCGTTGGCTCTTATTGCCGGCCGCGGCGTAGCACGTTGATACTCAGGGCCCTCTGCCTTGATACCACACAACCACCCAACCAACACACACCAATCTTCAACCTGCATCCTTCCATAGATCGTTCATCATGTTTTTGCAGTCATAGCCAACCGGTCCCTAGGGGCCCGACCTAATCCGCTGCTTACGCGGAGCTTTCGAAAGACTTCGCCAATTCTGGAGGCTTTCTGCTACGTTTTCCGCAAATCCTCAACGATCCATTGACGACCATCTTCCCGACCTCACTTACACCCCTGCAAGTCGAGAAGACCCCGTCCATTGACGATTGGCCATTCTCGTTCGCAACGCCCTCCAGCAAGACTACCACCGCACCTCACCGTCAACACCATTGCGAACACCTACGACCTACTCAGTCAACCTACCAAACACCTTCTACCAGTACCAGTACTCACCGGCCAAAATGGAGAACCGACGCATGTCGCGCGATTACGCGACATCACATGTCCTTGCGTGGACAACGACCCAGTCCGTCATGGTTGAGCCGGCATTAGAGGAAGACTTGGAGACTGATGCGGATGAACCCCCGGATTCGACAATGCTACCCATGTCACCACGCTTTGAGCGCGCTCCCGTTCACAGGGGCAGCCAACACCAAGAGTCTATGTTGACCAAGGCTCTTCACAGCGCCTCTGACTCTGATCATACCGAGTCTGATTATCAGCCACGCCGATTGGGCAGGAGACGCTCTATTACTAGCACTTTCAGCCTGGCTTCGACTGCCGACTACACCTGCGATACCGGCATTACTACCCCTCCTCGTACTACTTCACCGAGCCCACGTTTCACTGGCACCACCTTCCGACTCTCGTCCAAAGTTACCGAGGCGAAACCCAGCACTGCCCAGATCCTCCGGCCAGCTGCTGCCGTGCAGGCGCCGGAGAAGAAGCGATGCATCTCTTTCGCTTGTGCGGCCAAGCCTAGAGTCAACGATCAAGCCTTGACGCAACCCCCTCCCACGCCCACGCTAATCAAGGAGGAAGTCAAGACTCAGGAAGCGCCCAAGAGACCGACCATCAAGTTTGCTTGTGCTTCTCGTCCACAGAGAGATCGGCCTTCGCCAACTCAGCCTACTCGTCCCGCTACACCACCTCCAGCACCGGTCACCTCGCCGCTCAAGGAAGCGTTTGAATTCAACACCAGATCCCAGTCTCGCAGAAGCTCCGTGGCTACCATCTCGAAGAAATATCTGACTGCTGAGTCCGGAGATTTGGAGAGCGAGCGCGCCCGCTTCCACGAGTTTGCCAGCGATGAGCCTCAGGAAGAGGACTGGATCCGCGAGGATTTGACTTCCAAGCCTAAGCTTACCATCGACGACACGCTCAAGAAGGAGCTCGCCATTCGCAAGATCGGAAAGGAAGCTGAGGAAGAAGCCGAGCTGGAGGAAGCACTCGAATCGGGCGAAGCACTTCAAGACGATGACGAGGAGGCGGACGGCGATGAAGACGAGGGAAGACGAACAACGAGACGACAACGAGGATGAGGACAACATGGATGACGATGAGGACGATAACGAGGATGAGGATGAAGACGAAGATCTCAGCGATGCCCACTCCGTCTCCGTCTGGGGTGACGATGCGTCTGACGGTTATAAGACCGACTCCGAGATTGGGTTCGGCGAGTCTGACGATGAGGATGACGATGACCTGGTTCTCTGGACTACTGGCGGTCTTGCCGATCTTTCATTGTCTGGTGCTACTCCCGTTGTGCGTCGGGGTTCCGTTGACGAGTCCTCTGACTCTTCCGCTGCCTCGGATGGCAACAACGTTGCTCGCCGTGCTCTGAGGAGGCGCGACACGATTAGGGCTCGTGACTTCCGCCCCGCTACCCCTGATTTGCCTGACAGCACAGATTTCGTCTGCGGCACCTTGGATGAGGACCGTCCCTTGGAGGCGGCCTATTTGGAGCGCCTGGCTGCCCGCAAGCAGAACAAGCTCGTCTTCATCCCCCAGGACATCGATCCCAGCTTCCCCACCTCGGAGCCCGAGGATGAAGGAGAGGAGTTGTACAACAAGAGCATGCATGGACACGACGATAGCGAGGACGATATGTGGCAGTTGGAGGATCTACACTCAGAGCGTGGCCGCATTGGTCGTGCGAAGAAGACTCAGAACTCACCTCGGCGATGCCGCTCACCTCCTCCCAAAAGGCGTCTCTCTCCCTGCCCCAAGCCTCGCGGCCGCAATGATCGCAAGTTGTTCGACCGCTCTTCTCCCCGCAGGATGAGGTCACCTGCTCCTCCCATTCCGTCTGCAAAGTCTCCCCATGCTTCTCCTGCTATGGGAGCCGATGGCGTTGCGTTCAAATCACTCGCATTCAGACCGGGCTTGGCCTTCACCAAGTCACTGCCCAAGGGACCAGTCATGTTCCCTCACGTCAACAAACAACAGCCTCGCAGATCCCGTGCTGGCACCATCAACCAAGATACCCACATTCGTGGTGCCATTGACATTGTCAAGGGCTTGGAGGAGAAGCGCCAGAGGCGCAAGGAGAAATATTACCAAAAGTATTGCAGCCGGGCCCGCAAGGAGAAGGCTCAGCCCAAGAGACCTCCTCCTGGACAGGGTGCCGAGCGCATGCGTGAAGTTGGCCTGATTATGGCTGGCAAGATCGGCCAGGCCAACTATGTTCTTTCTTATTAAACTCGTGGCGGGGGCAGTTTATCAGCATTCACACGGCGAATTATACCCTGGGTTATAACGGCAACTGGAGAGGCATTTCTGATTTTTACCACGTTTAGCGGCGAAGGCTTTCTCTCGTGCGGCATTCGGTATCTACACTTTCATCCCCCGGCTCATTGATTACACCTTTTGTACCGCCCGTTTCATTGTAATTGCATAGTCGGAGTTGCAAGCGAGCATCGGGTCGGCTTTCTGTGGGCTGTGCCTGGGCGGGCACATTACTGTCTGTTCTTATTCTTTTCTTGTCGGCGCGTTTTTTTCGTACATATCTTTTTCTGCCTGCCCTTGCTCTTCTTTTTTTTCTCTTTCTACGTGGCACGCTGCGATTTTGAGAGCGCGCGTGTGCACATTCGGACTCTCTGTAGAGGCGGAGAGACGGATTCGATGGCCGGGGGTAGATATACCCTGCAGAACCTGTCTTGGAGTTTGGGACCTCTGGAGATGGACGAGAGGATGGGAATGGGATGGGACGGATGGCAACGGATTAGCAAATATCCGTATCAGCGATTGTGAGCTGATTTTCTTGGTTTGGACATACGCAACCAAGTGCTGGGATTGGGAAGGAAACTTGCTGTACATGACTGTAGATCCTCCTACGTACCACAAACAAACAAAGAAGTAAAATTTTAAAATCACCCAATGTGTGCTCTTGCTTTACTGTGTGAACTCAATCCGTCGGGGAATATCTGGGCCTCCAGGTGAGAGCAGGATGGGGGTTCTTGGCGAGAGATTCGTCGGACACAGCGGGTGGCATCTGGAATCGTCCTGGTTCTCCTGAATCTTGCAGCAATACCATGGCTCCATTACGGTTGCTTTGGCAGCTGCAGCGGACGTGCATGTGGTGCTGTTTCCGCTGTTTTCTTTTCCCCTTGTTTTTGGGCGGTGACAAGCCCTGGGCCGGGGACTTTGCCCCTGAGAACCGTCTCGCCCCTGACTGGACTGCTGCCATCAGACCAAAAGCGGGAAGTGAGGACATTGACCGGTCACGTGAAAGTGCCTTACATTCCAGGCCAACAATCACAAGACCGTTGCAGGGGCGAGCAGGGGCCAGTCCGGCGCTGTCCTCGCCTATCGTTCCTGCCAGCAGTGCACTCCTGGGCTCGCGTGGGTCATTGAACCTTCTGTGGACATCCATCGCCGACGACTTTCCTTGTAGCGTGTGTGCGCACCTCCCGACCGCCTTCAATCCGCCGCCGCCCTCGTACACTTTTGTCATAGCTTCTTCTTGTTGCTTTCGCATCGCAACATCCACGACGCCAGCCAACTAAGCATCATCAACGCCCTCGTCCACGTTTTCGCCGATCTGTCCTTGTGCGAATACTCGTCCGGTTTTTACACACGACTATCCGTTCTCCTAGAACCCCGACTTTATCGCATCACCAACAAAAAAGAACACAGAGGTGTCCTCTAGACAATCATTCCGTCACCATGTGGTTGTTCTCTTGGTGTATGTTGTTGCATCTCTATCCCATCCATCCAAGCGTCAATCCAAAACCCCCGTTCCTCCTTTGTTGATTATCATCGTGGACCATGGATATGGACATGCATACCATGGACATGCGAATTGCTGGGGATTCGGGGGTTCGGGGTGAAAATGGATGGAACGAACACATTTGGGAACTCACAAAGCTGACATGATGGCGCTACGAACAAACAGTCTACGATATCCTTTCCAACCTCGGCCTGCTTAACAAGCATGGCAAGCTGCTCTTCCTGGGTCTCGACAATGCCGGAAAGACCACTCTCCTACACATGCTGAAGAATGACCGTGTTGCCATTCTCCAGCCTACTCTCCATCCGAGTCAGTTTAATCACCTACTACCTGCCACCTACCTATCACTGTCTCCTCGTCAACCCCGGACCTTGATACCCGAGCACGTTTTCCGTCCTCTTCGCCTCCGCCTCGACAATTCCCGTTCCCGCTCCCGCTCCCGACTCCAAACGCCGCATCAGATATGCGTGCACGTGTCATCAAGCGATGCTTATAGAGAAGGGTTATGGCTAACATGAATCGTTCTGCAGCTTCGGAGGAGTTGTCCGTCGGCAACGTCAAGTTCACCACTTTTGATCTTGGTGGCCATCAGCAGGGTGAGTGAATATTCTTCTCCCGTTTAGGGCTCAAATACTTTGCCCCTCGGGTCTTATAAACTACAGTCCCATTATGCATGGCCATACTAAGACATGACTTCGAAACAGCCCGTCGTCTCTGGAAGGACTACTTCCCCGAAGTAAACGGTATCGTCTTCCTCGTGGACGCCAAGGACCACGAACGTCTCCCCGAGGCCAAGGCCGAGATCGACGCGCTCCTCTCGATGGAGGAGTTGGCCAAGGTTCCCTTCGTCGTGTTGGGCAACAAGATCGACCACCCCGAGGCCGTCTCCGAGGACGAGCTCAGGCAGAGACTCGGTCTTTGGCAAACAACCGGAAAGGGCAAGGTTCCTCTCGAGGGCATCCGCCCCATCGAGGTGTTCATGTGCTCTGTGGTCATGAGACAGGGATACGGAGAGGCCATCAGGTGGTTGTCCCAGTACGTTTAAGGGGTTTTGAGAAGGGGATGAGGAGCAGCACAGGATGGCTGTACGGTAATAACATTTTGTAATATGATACGATGATGACAAGGAAGGGACTGGAGGGAGTTGCGATATCAAAATTGAGGAGCGCATTTTTACAAACTACCGATACGTACGAAGCTTATCAGACAGTGGGACGTGGAGGGGCAACGTTGAACGACTAGCGTTATCTTGCTGATGATGGTGTAGCTTCTCTTTTGCTCTCCGTCGAATACCGATCTACCTTGTCAAATTCGCTTAGTCTCGGTGTGTCTACCTAGCTAGGGTCATGGTCGAGAGGTCATTCAAGCACACTGTGGAATCATTACGGATGAACGTGAACAGTTCTCAATTACAAGGATGCGTAGAGTGTACGGTATGATTCCCCAGTAAAAACACGTGTATGCCATCATTTGTTGGGCTGGAACGCATGTTGCGGAGAGACACTACGTAGCCCGGCAAGAGCCCCGTCCTCGGCTTCGCCCGCCCACTTAAAATACTATATCCATGGGCGAGGGTCGACCGACGTCATCCAACATTCTGCCACACTCACGCAACTCCAAACGCTTTTGGCACCAAGCCCAACGACAAGAACGACCAAACACCAACCATTGCAATCAACGTTGTATCCCGATCACCTTAGACACCTATTTCCCTTTGTGACCCTATTGTCGGATTCCTTTTTCATCCCGTGTCACCTCATTGTCCAGCCATTCCCGGTGACTTGTTCCGGGGTGGATCATCATCAGCCGGTCATACAGTACATACATACCAAGACCCGAGATTCCACTTCCTCTTCACATGCCTCCCTGGCGATTACTCGATATCATTCAGTGACGACGTCGACGATCCTTAAGCAAGCATCTGCCAAGCGTTTCTTCCTGTGCTTGGATTCCTGTCCTTTTTTTTATTTTACCTACAATTCGCAATCTCGTTTGCGACTGGTTTCTTTGATTACGCAACAACTCGAACAAATCGAAAAGACTCCTGCCTTGATATCACAACTGTCGCAACTTTCCGAGCTACCTACATCTACCTACCTGCTTTGGCTGCTTGAGACAACATCCATTATCGCCGAAAGAAGACACCACATTTCACTGCCATGGCTGACGACACGGACAACCCACCAATCCATATACCAGCAAAGACATATGGCTTTCCGCCAGAAGCCTTTGACCCTAGACGGCTTCCCGACTACAATACCAATTTCCTACCTGCGCAAGACCTCGAAGCTTTCATCCAAGCCCTTGCGGCACCCGACTTCGCCCAATCACCAGACGATGCATCGTCTATGCGCCTGAACAGCCCAGGTCTTCAAAGCGCCAGCAGTCTAGACATAACCAAAGATGACTACGACCATTCCGAAGCGCGCGCAGCCGTTGCCTCCGTCGCCGACGTAGCTGCTCCTGGCACGCCGCAGCCCAACCCAACATCTACCTCTGCTGCTGCTCCTAACGGGGGGTTCAACCACCATCGCCGCACCAGCACCGGCACCTTCTTCAGCGCGCACAACGACTGGGCGCCTGTGAGTGAAACGGTCATCAAACCCGACCGAGACGAGAAGCGCAACAAGCGCGGCGGCAAAGATCGCAAAAAGAAGAAGCCGCGCAAGGGCGTAGCTCCTCTGCGCGCTCTGGTTGGCACCAGGTCCAAAGATGAGACCCGCGAGGGCTACCTGTACAGCCTCCTCAAGTGGCCCTTCCTACTGATCGTTAGCATCTGGATCACCGGCCTGGGCATTGCCTATCTCGCCACCCGCTTTTACATCTACTTCTACGAGCAATTCGTCACGTGGCGTGGGAGGCGGGAGCAGCTGCGGCGGGCGATGCGCGCGACGGGCAACTACAAGGACTGGGTGCCGGCCGCACGAAACATGGATGACTTCTTTGGGAACCAGCGATGGAAGGAGGAGAATGATTTTGCCTACTACGACAGCAAGACGGTGAGGAGGGTGTGGGATCAGATGAGGAGGTGCAGAGAAAAGGCCGAGGTGGTTGAGAGGGAGCTGGAGCAGCAAAGTCAGAACAGCGACAGCGGCGTTGGATCTGGCGAAGAGACCAGCAACACCAAGACTGAGAGCGGCGGCGACGAAAATGGTGGCAACAAGAAGAAAACGCAACCCGTGGAGGATCTGAAGGCGCTCATTGAGGCCTGTGTCAAGAATAACTTTGTGGGCATCGAGAACCCAAGGCTATATAGTCAGACGTACTATGGAACCAAGAATTTGGTGCAGAACTACATCGATGAAGGTGAGTTAAGGCATTTCCGCAAGCAGAGAGATTGCTGCGCCCAAACATGTGCTGACTGACGGGAATGAATAGTGGAACGAAGCATCAAGTTCTTAATTGGCACGAAGCAGTTGACGAAGGAGCAGAAGAGGGTCATGTTCAAGGGCATCTGCGCCAACTATGGTCGAACAGCTCTCTGTCTCTCAGGCGGCGCAACATTTGCCTACTACCACTTCGGTGTCGTCAAGGCCCTGCTCGAAGTGGACTATCTCCCTGACATCATCACCGGAACCAGTGGCGGTGCCCTCGTAGCCGCCCTCGTAGCGACCCGTACCAACGACGAGCTTAAGGAGCTCCTGAACCCGGCCCTCGCCTGCAAGATCACCGCCTGCCGCGAGCCCTTCACCGTCTGGTTCTGGCGCTGGTACAAGACGGGCGCGCGCTTCGACTCGGTCGACTGGGCCAAGCAATGCGCCTGGTGGTGCCACGGCAGCCTGACCTTCCGCGAAGCCTACGAGCGCACCGGCCGCATCCTCAACGTCTCGTGCGTTCCTTCGGACCCGCACTCCCCCACCATCCTCTGCAACTACCTCACCTCGCCCGACTGCGTCGTCTGGTCGGCCGTGCTCGCCTCCGCCGCCGTGCCCGGTATCCTCAACCCCGTCGTCCTGATGATGAAGAACCGCGACGGCACCCTCGAACCTTACTCCTTCGGTCACAAGTGGAAGGACGGCTCCCTGCGCACCGACATCCCCATCAAGGCTCTCAACCTGCACTTCAACGTCAACTTCTCCATCGTCTCCCAGGTGAACCCGCACATCAACCTCTTCTTTTTTTCGTCAAGGGGTTCCGTCGGCGAGCCCGTAACCCATCGCAAAGGCCGCGGCTGGCGCGGCGGCTACCTCGGCTCCGCGACAGAGCAGTACATCAAGCTGGACCTGACAAAATGGCTGCGCGTGCTGCGGCAGCTGGAACTTCTCCCCCGCCCGCTGGGCCAGGACTGGAGCCAGCTGTGGCTGCAGACGTTCGGCGGGACGGTAACCATCTGGCCCAAGAGTATACCGTCTGATTTCCTCAGGATTCTCAGCGATCCCGACCCGCCTCGCTTGGCGAGGATGATCCATGAAGGTCAGCAGAGCGCGTTTCCCAAGGTCAAGTTTATCATGAACCGGCTGAAGGTGGAGAGGCTGGTGGAGCAAGGCAGGAGGGAGACGAGAGACCGGAGGGTAAATGCGTTTGCGGCGATGGGTAACGGGGAGGGCGGCACTATGGATGCTATGGGTCACGGTAGACATCCTCTTGCGTCGAGCAGCTCGGGTGGGGCGGGTGATAGGAGGGGAAGCATTGAAAGTATTTTGAGTGAGGATGATTTGAGGAGTTTGTTGATTAAAGGAAGAGGAGGGGGCCATACGAGCGGGGGAAGTAGTACGGGCACGGAGGATGAGTTGACCATGACGGAGTTGGAGGGGGAGGATGGAGGGAGGACGAGTAGAGTTAGTGAGGGTAGGAGCAGGGATGGGTATTTTGAGGGGTCGGTGGAAGAAGAGGATGGAGGTTTGGAGATGGCTACCTCTTCTGGTCGTTCGAGGACTTAGGAGCTTGTCGTCAACCTGAGGTCTTTGCTTGGTTGACTTGGAAGTGGTTTAGAGTCGAAGACAGAGGGATGCATTTGGAGCGATTTTTGAATTACCATTGTACATACTCGTGTTAACATATCTTATACAGCCCAATTTGGTTGGGACTGACTGCACTGCATCCAATCATGATTCTGGTATCATCACGATATACAAAAAGTGAAAATTCCACCCTCCTAGGCCAAAATAATGTTGTACCAATGCCTGCTTGCTTATGCCATTTTCTCTGGTGAATGTAATCATAAGCCTCTGTCCAACCGATGGATAACAATACCGTTACTAAATCTTTTATCTCTTCTCATCCTCTCAACCCATCAGTCCACTCGCCCATGTTTTCCGTGATTTCCTAGCACCACCACCAAGTGCAGCATTCTTCATTCACAAACTCCTGTCCGACATAATCGTAGGCAAAACTGTAGTTCGTCCATCACGCCGCTCTGCTCTCGAGCTAGACCTACTGAAGATTGTCGAGACAAAGCTTTTCCTTTTCTTCGGCTGATGTTGCTGTTGCTGGACAGCTGAAGTAATGCCAGTGATAGGTTCGTTGCGAGTGGGATACTCAAAGTGTCCTCGAGTCTCTGTTGTTGGTAAATTTCCTCCTCTTCGGGGCGAGGAATGTGAACTCGTCCGTTCAGGGACGGGGAGGGGAGAGTCGTCCGCGCTTGTTGGGGGCGTGACTTCTCCGTGTCGGTGGCGATGGCTGTGATCACGGGCTTGGGTTTTGGTTTGGGTTTGCTGGGTGTGCCTGAGGTCCGTTGGCTCTGGCTCGGGGACGGCGGCTGTTGCTTGTTTGAAGTTGGCCAGGGATTTCTGTTTTGTTGGTTAACGTTCTGTGCTCTGTCGCAAGGGATCGGGTCAGAAACTAGGCCCTTACCTTCACATTAAGCTTCATCCTCCCTCTCGACTTCTTCATCGACAAAATACTCTCTCCTTCCTTAGTCTCAGTTCCTCCAGGCATAAAAGTCTTCGACAACGGCAACCCATCACCAGAAATAACTCCCTTCTCGGCCATCTCCATCTCCCCACTCACGGTTATCCCACCGCTTGCCAAACAATCCTCTGGCACAGGAACGAACTTCAGCAATCCCCTCGACGGATTCACCCCAATCGCCTCCTCGAGATGCTTCTGGATCAGCGCCGCATTGCGCTTGTTTGTGGTTGGCTGCAAGTGGCTCGGCAAAGCCGAGACGGAAATCACGTACGCTGGGTCAAAAGTTCCGCCGAACAACATGCAAGCGCCGTGGTGGAGGGTGACAACGATGGAGGACACTGGGCGTTGGTATCGAGACGAGAGGTGATAACTGAGCTCAGTTATGAAAGTGAATTCATCGCTTATCTGGTGGTGACGGATATAGACGGGTTGGTCAGTACGTTCAGTGCGTAAAGAAGGTAAAAAGGAGAAGGGGAGGGATGCAGGGCGACCCACAATGACATTCGTCTTAACCTCCGCCATAACAATCGCATCACCACGTATCCTTTCCTTTGCCGGACTGACCTCGCTAATAGAAAAAGCGCCTTCCCAAAAGTTGAGGTTGCTCTTTTGTCTTGGCAGCTCAGCCATTGATGCCCGCTTGGATGAGGATGATAACTTTGACACTCGCTTGGGTCCAGCTGTCACAACGTCTCCTGGGGGAGGACGGTCGATGTCTCGCATAATCTTGTTAAGGCTCTGGATTTGGTCCTGGTTTGTGTCGTTATTCCCGTCATTGTCCTCGGTAGAGATAGGCTTTGAAGGTCGTAATTTGACGGTATCGGAGTCTGAACTGGTGGTCTGAGGGCCGGATACCTGCTGGGCTTTTCGTTCGGAGAAGGACATATTGCTCTTGCTCTTGCGTCTGTTGATGTCCTTTGAGGGGACTGGTGGTGGTGGGCTACTTTCGTTGGGGCCAGCTCTGGTTTGAGGCCGTTCGACGACAGCCGTGATGGGAGGATGTTGGTTCGGCATTGTTGAGGAGGTCGGTGGCGGCTTGCCAGAACTTCAGAGGATCCTTTGAATAGTGACCATATAAATGTGTTGTTGTAATGTATGATGATATCGAACTCCAACGGAATCACGTAACTGACAGCTGCGCTCGCTGAATTCTCAGGGGTTAGACCTCAGAATATATTCGTTCCTCTCGGTGATCGAATCAGGAGATATTGGAATGTTTGAGCGTTTTTCCAGGCGATGGTGACTTCTGACCCGCCAATTAAAGCCTAATATTTGACTGCTGTAAGAATTGATGCAGTGGCTGGCCAGCTACGAGATAGAAATTGTATGGCAGAATGATAGTAGTGGGAAGATACGAGTTGTCAGATATTTCCAAAGGAAGAGTATAATCCTCACGTGGGGCACCACCGCCACTTCAAAAAACTCAGGGTGCAGAGTGAGTTAGGCAAGAGCGCAAACGAACAGGATGGGGGCGACATGCGCAAGTTCCCTTCTCGTTCTGTTCCTTCCCTATACGTTCCAGTTTAGTTGTCTTGTGGTTGAAGTGAAAGCTACCAACCGTTGTAGTGTTGGGATCAACGTGGGAAGGTGCGGTCCGATCTTGAGGAGAAACAAGTTGAGGGTAAGTACAAGACAGGGCTTAGACTTGAGCGTGAGACAACTCAAGCCTCAAGGCATACGAATGGGTAAAGGGAGGGGGGGAAGGGGGAAGGGAGAAGGGAGGGTGGGGAGGAAGGAAGGAAGGAAGGAAGGGATACAGCAAAATACGAGATGGATATGCGGAAGGGTCATTAGATAGAAGGGATTGGGAAAGCCCCTTCTTCTGGTTGAGCGACGATATCAACGTTTCGACACCCTCCATCTACCATGACAGATGAAACCCTTCCATGTTTGTACTTCGCATCACGAAGGGTCGCAGAGAAACGAGAAAGAAAAAGCAAGTAAAATTTACTGCAGGCAAGCCGGTAGCCAAGCACATGGCTAGATGACTTTGCCGCCTCCCCCCATCCGACTGGACAACGGGTCATGATCAACGGCTAGGTAAGTAGGGTGGTTGTCATGTACGTGGGTTCATCGACATCCGCAACGTCGTATGTTAAGTAGCTAGTATCCAGCTGTGCGGATGCTTCCCTGGCCTTCGGTGTCAAAAAAACCTATTTTGCTCGCCGTTATCAATCAATCTTCGAAAGGCACAGCATATTTCAAACATATTCCTTCCGCTCCGGCCGGCTCTTGTGTTTCTTCTCTTACCTATCTGCACATAACGTGCCAGGATCTCCGATGTCAAAGTCGTACACTGATGGGTAGAGGTGAGATACTGTACTAGACAGGTAAGCTGTTGTGTAAGGCTGGGGAAACAGTTTGTGTGTTGATACCCGGTCACTCAGCTTCTTTCTCATCGGTATGGCACTCACGAGCTGGGGGCTTGTCTATACCGACGTCGGGTCACGGTGAAAGCATATATTTGGGCCAATGTGGGTCATGGGGGCAAAGCTGTTTTCTGTCTCTGCCCTAAGGTCCAATCCCTTGGATGGCGGGACGGTGTACGTATGTATGTACAGCGTTGCTGAAAAAACGCGGGTCACTGCATTATGGCATCAATCAAACCGGGTTGTGATCGTAAGTAAACCCCCAGGACCCCCTTGCGTTGTGCAACAGCCCGGTAGTAGCTGAAGTCTTGTAGGTGTGAGCGGCTTTAAACAGTCCAGATGCATCATCCGCCATTTGAGCTTCTCCTTTTCTTGAGAGCTGAGTGTGTGGTTCTCCTCCCTCCCTCCCTCCTTTCTGTCTGAAGCGCAACCGGCCGGTCAAGCGAGCCGCCCGAAGAACCGAGACACCAGCAGGCAAAGAAATAAAGATAAGACATGCAGTACGCACGAGGGACATGACACACACTGCAAGCGAGAAACGTGCAGTGGGTTGACGCAAATAAATTGGATCTTACGAAGCCTTTTCGCCTCAGGTACAGATAAAAGAAATATGGGGTATGCCATCCGGGTAAGCGGGAATGGAACGGTCAATATAGATTATCGAGAAGCATATAAAGGATAAGGCAAAGTTGTGAGGACCCCCACGACGAGGCCCGGGTGTAAGGAGGGTTCCGTGGGATATTGCGAGGTGTGGTGTCGTATGCTGAGGCGATACCTGGGTTTCAAATTGTGGCAAGGCAGCTAGGGAATATATTCGTTTTCGCATCCATATTATCTCACTACTAGTCCTGCGTCCAAGTCAATATACACCACGAAAAAATGGTGTGATGATAGTAAAACAGTATACTATACGACTTGCCATTAACAATAAACCATCTCACCTTTTACCCATCCCTTCTCCCCATCATTTGCCTATTGTTATTTGTCCCTAACGAACCAGCCCACCAACAACAGCGCCCAGCTCTCCAAAAAGAATGTTCTTGAAGATCGTCTCCCCCATCTCCTCGCCCCAGTGTCCCGCCGCCTTCAACTTCTCCTTCCAGACCTGCTTCTGCTCCTCATGCAACTCATCCCACTCCTTCGGTGTCGGCGCGGTGCTGTCCACCTCGGCGTCGTGTCCACTAGCCCGGACGACCCCGTCCTTTGCCCCAACGTTCAGAATCACCTTCTTAGCCTGTCCATCCTGCACCTTGAGATCCTTCTCCGCCAGCAGCGAGGCCAAGAAGCCGTGCACGCCGTCGGGAGTGAGCGACTCCGAGTTGGCATAGTTGACATGATTGCCAACCACGCTCTGGCCAGCGCGGTAGCGGGCATTCTGCTGCCAGCTGACGGGAGCGAATCTCCTGGCGCCAATCATGGGGGCGGAGTAGCCCTTGATTTCGAGGAAGCTCTGGACGAAGATGCCGATGAAGAGGGTAAGCAGGGCCGTGAAGAAGAGGAGACCCTTGGGTGAGGGGGCTTGGCTCTTCAGGGCTAGGACGTAGCGGGCCGCGCGGGGAGGGCCACCACGGCGGGTTTGGGCCGTCTTGTCGACGTACTTCTTGAGCGGGAGGGAGTGCACGATGCAGGAGTTGCCGACGGAGCCGATGGAAGCTAGCTTGAGGTACTCGGGACGAACGGATCCCGTCTTTGTGACAGCTTTTTCGTCAGACGACTTGGCGTCGTCGGATTCGGCGGGCGGGATGACGTAGGAAAAGGCCACGCCGGAGATGGGGCCGTTGTGGACGTTCTTGAAGGTAGTGACCTTAAAGAGGTTGATGATCAGATTGATGTCGGCAACCGACTGGTGATCCAGCGTGAAGAGAGTAATCGAGCTGTCCTGGCCAGTAACGGCGATGACGAACTGGGCGTCGCCCTGCTTGGCGGTCGGCGAGGCAGGAGGCGTTAGATTGCGAATGGCCAGACCGGTAGCGCGCGTGACAGAGCTGGGCAGCTTCGCGGAAATGCACAGTCTTGCCTTGGGCTCCTCTAGCTTTGTGGCTACGACTGTCTTATCCGCGGTTCCGTTGGTGTCCCCATTGGCAGTGGTGGTGATGGCGGCCGCACCGTTCGCCTTGCCATTGGCCTTGGCGGCCGCTTCCTCCTCCTTCTCCTTAAGCTTGCTTTGAATCTTGTCATCCTTGGGCATGCGGAATCCGTGAAGAACCGCGCCACCGCCCTGGGGAAGGTTGGCAACGGCGAGGATGAAGTCCGGAGTCAGATAGCGCACCGATCGGAACGAGGGCCTAGCAGCTCCGGTGATGGCCTGCTCGTCTGGCATGGTGAAGAGCAGCTTGGGACCTTCCGAAATGCCCTTTCCAATGTTCATGGTGCGCAATTCGAACTCGTCGCAGTAAGCGAGCTGGTAGCTATCAGGACCAGCCTGAATGATATCCATGTCCACAGCCTCCTTCACCAGCTCAAGGTTACCCCTGAGCCTGGGAGTGGCATCTCCAGTGTTGGGCACATCGAAGAGGGCAATCTCTGGCTCTTTGGAGAATCCTGTGGCGACAGCACCAACCTGGGCGGACCCGGGGAACGGCGCGGACAATCGCAACACTCTCTGATAGGTATCCTTCTCCGTCGTTGCGAAGAGTGAAGAGCGCGAGAGCTCGGTGATCTTGGGCTTCTCGGACGCAGCCTTGGTTTTGGATGGTTCGTCCAAGCTGAAGACACGGAAATGTTCGTTGTTTCCCTTCGCGATATCATCAGCGCTCGAATTGATACCGGCGTACAGCAGAATCGAGTCCTTGTTCCGGGGTCCGACAGCAAGAGTCGCGACACTGTCCTCATCGCGACTGAGTTCGATCTCGGATACAATGTCGAGGGTGTCCGGACGTGATGCGTCGATAACGGTGATCTTGTTTCCTACACCATGGTTACCGGGGCCGCCGCCACCGGCTACGATAAGTCGGTTCGCATCTTCGGGGTCGAAGTCGAGAGAGTAAAGGGAATACGAAGTGCGCAGTTCCGCAGACGGGATCGGGACCATCGTGTTTGAATCGTCTGGGTATCTTTGGGAGTGTCGGGTTCGGCAACGTATTTCAGTCGTGCTTGGAACCTTTGGTTGGGCGAGGATGGTGATTAGGATTATAATTAGGGTATATGTCGAGTTGAGCTGAGAACAAAAAGCGAGGATGGTTGCAGATCGCCAGACCCTGTTGTCAAGGAGCAAGAGGACAACGTCAGACTTATTTCAATTGGTCGCATGTGATGCGGTCTAGACCAGCTAGTGAGCTAAACAGACTGTGTCTCTCTACCTGGGGAGCTCATGTGGATCCGTCTTAGTGGGTGTTTCCCGACTACAGATCGCGCATTCGCAGTCTGTTTAGCATACCGAAAGACACGCCTGCGACGTCATCCAGACACACAGCAGTGCATCTCTTCCACTTGCTCATTGGGTGCCGTCAGGAATAAAGACCTCAATAAGGTCAGAGCTCCTGCAAAACATGGGGGAGAAGTCCGGGGGGCTGCCAGGAGCTTCCCGGCGGTACGGGAACGCTATGACCAGCATCATCGATGATACAGGATATAGTTACAGGGGTTGAAGCTATCATAATGTTGTCTTTTGGTTTGGAGAAGACTCAGAATGTCGAGATGAATCGGATTTCTTTCGAAACGCTTAAATTATTCTTATATAACCTACTACAGCCCTTCATGCCGCCATGTTGACATGGATACTCTTGACATTGCAATAAGGTGCCAGACCCGCCTCTCCCAGCTCCCTCCCAATACCGGACTGCTTCACGCCTCCAAAGGGAATTCTAAAGTCCGAATCATTGCTGCTGTTGACCCAGACCATGCCAGCCTCAATCTCCCGCGCTACTCTGTGTGCCCTAGTCAAGTCCTTGGTGAACAGAGCCGCTCCGAGGCCATACATGCTATCGTTGGCCAGCGTCAACGCCTCCTCCTCCGACTTGAACGCGGTGATGGCCACGCAGGGTCCAAAAATCTCCTCCTTGAATATCTTCATGGTCGGCTTGACGTTGGTGAAGACCGTCGGTGCCACATAGAAGCCCTTGCCGTTCTGCGGAGCCGGCTCACCACCCAGCATCACCGTGGCACCCTCTTCCTTTCCGGCCTTGATATAGCCCAGAACACGCTCATACTGCGCCTTGCTGACCTGGGGTCCATGGAACGTGCTCTCCTCGAAGGGGTCGCCGACGACCGAAACCTCCTGAACCTTGGCCTTGAACTTCTCGACGAACTCGTCGTAGATCTTCTCATGCACGAGGATGCGTGATGTGGCGGTGCAGATTTGGCCCTGGTTGCTCATGATACCAATGTGAGACCATGTCGCCGCTAGCTCAAGGTCGGCATCCTCAAAGACAATCAATGGGGACTTGCCGCCAGTCTCAAGGGTGATGTTCTTCATAGTCAAGGAAGCCATCTTCATGATCTCCTTGCCCGTAGCGGTGCTGCCGGTAAAGGCAATCTTGTCGACCTGTGGATGTTGCACAAGTGCGGAACCCGCTTCCCTGCCGTGTCCGTTGATGATATTGATCACACCAGGAGGGAAGCCGGCCTCCTTAATGAGTTTAGCCACGTACAGCATGGACAGGGGCGTCTGCTCGGCCAGCTTGAGGACAATGGTGTTGCCGCAGCATAGGGCCGGACCCAGCTTCCAGGCGGCCATGTCTAGCGGGTAGTTCCAGGGGATGATCTGGCCGCACACGCCGAGAGGCTCCTTGACCGTGTAGGCAAACTTGGCCGGGCCGACGTCAATGACTTGGCCAAAGTTCTTGTCCGCATAGCCGGCATAGTACCTGAGGACGTTGATCACTTCGGGCACGTTCTCGGTAAGGGCTGTCTGATACGGCTTGCCATTGTCCAGGCACTCAATGGTGGCCAAGATCTCGGCATTCTGAGCTACTAGGTCGGCCAGCTTGAGCATCAAGGCGCCGCGCTCAGTGCCTGATAGAGATTTCCATGATTCGTGCTTGAAGGCCTTGCGGGCTGCTGATACCGCAGCGTCGACATCCTCGGCGGTTGCGGCGTATACTGAGCAAATTTCTTCTTCGGTACTAAGGCTATATGTTAGTGCCCGTGGTTGAGTGAGTGACTCGGAGTGATATAAGATTTTGAACATACGTTGGGTTGATGGAAGCCAACTTCTGCTCATTGTTGCTCTTGACAAACTCGTTGTTGATGAACAGGCCCAGTGGTTGCGTCCACTTCTTGCCGTTAGGGGCTGTAAGCTCGACTTCCATGTTGGGCTTTGTGTTGCTGAAGAAAGGCGAAGATGATGAGAAAGTTCGTGAAGAAGAGAGCTGGGCGTGATAGACTTGTCTTCCTTTGGTCTTATACAAGTGCCTCAAGGGAACAGAGCCCGGGCAACTGGGACGGAGGAAGAGCTTCATCTTATAACCTTTGATCGATGGCCGTTCAACTTCAACCCCTCACCTCAGCTTCTCGTCGACGAGTGATAAGGCGGGGGGAGGGACGTGGAGTGTTACACTGTCATTGCACTTCCTTTCCCAGTTGAAGCAGTGACATTGTCGCCGAGCCGGATCTCTGGGGGATCTGGACCACCCGATCCGGGCAACACATCTTATCGTGACTGGGGAGCGCGGGCCAAGTGGGCCAACAGCGATCAAGTGGCATTCTGTGCCGTGGACTTCTTTCCCTCTTTGAGCCAAGACAGTAAAACAGGGTCCATCCATTGCTTTGTTTTGGTACTGTGTTTATCCAATATGTGTGTATCTCGCACTTGGCTCTCCGTCTTGGTGACTTGGTGATACTACTTCATAGTAGTGTCGTCGTCAAATTGGGGGATTACCTTATGTAACAGCAATACCAAGTAACATTTCCCCCAGAAACGGGAGATGCAATGCCCTGCAGCCGCCGTAAGCGGGTCATTGCCCACTGTTATGGGTCGCAGCTGCCAGTCAGGCGTGGTGTGACATGACATGACGTTTGGTAGTGCGTTCCCACTGTTGGGACCCTCGAGTCGGAATTCAACCCAAGGGAAAAGTCATGGAACTTTCTCTCACAGCAAAAGAAGACACCAACACACCGCCAACGATCCCAAGCGAAAAGATTATGCGCAACAATAATTAAACCATCTTTCATGATGGAATTTGCTACGACGCAATCACCCGTGGCCTCCGAGGTGTTTGCCTCGGTCGCGCTCTTCGTCATCTCAGTTATCGTCCTCCTCATTCTCCGACACTATCTTCCGCTTCGAACAACACCCGCCTACCTTCTAGTTCCCATCTTCTTCGCATTATGTCTCCCAGCAAGCATGGTACTGCTGGTACCCATCGACCTGGCCTCGAGCGCCATGGTCGATGATATCGATGCCCGAGGAATCTGGCTGGAGCGCGGCCCATTGCGCATCTGTTGGAGAATCGCCTACTGGCTCACCTTCTGTTTGACATGGTATGTGCTTGCTGGATATCCAAGGTTCAACATACAGCATGACTGCGAAGCTAACGCGAACGCGCCGACAGGTTCATCATACCCATCCTCGGCGAATACTCAGATTCTGGCTATCGCGATCCCCAAGCCAAATTCCGAGACTCGCTTCGCGCAAACGCCCAGTACTATGCCGTCGTCTTTGGCTCCGGATTCCTCGGGCTGTTATACGTTCTCTGGTCATACGGTGGCTTTTCCGAATCACTAAAGAGCACCGTCATGGCTCTCGCATATTGCTGGGGTCTCATACTGGCCATCTATCTTATGGGGCATGGCCTGGTCGCTATCCCTCGCCGGCTCTTTCGGAACGCCGACATCAGTGGACGGCTGCGTAGGATCCAGACGCAGGCTCCCAAGGTGTACGATCAGATGGAGGATGCACAGATGAATTTGGATGATTTGGAGATGCAGGTGGCCGAGCTCAACAAGCGCAGGCAAACCGGAACTGCAAAGAACTTCCAGGACTGGATCGAGGAGTTGGTCGACCTCACCAACATTCCAGAGTCGCAACTCGCAAGCACCTCTGGCGCAGTCCGCGGTTCCGGAGAATATATCAGGACTAAGCTTCCCACGGTAATCACTGAAAAGTACATGGCCGATCTCACGAGACAGCTGATCAGGGCCAAACACGCCCGCTCGCGCTATACGAGCGATTGGAACAGGCTTTTACATGATGCCGTCAAAACACAAGCCATCATCGACTCGGTGGCTTCCAAGAGACTAGACTTTGGTGTGCCTTCCCCGAATTCCGGTTTCTGGGGCAGGCACAGCCCCTTGACTCCCTATACTCGCTTCCTTTATTATTACTACGTCCTTCCATATTTCAATCTTGGGTTTGGCGGCCTACTAGCTCTCGCGTCAGTCTGTATTGTGTGGTCCGAAGTTGTCAAGGGAATTTTCCCGGTTCTCTCTGTCATCCGCTACTCCGTTGTTCACCACAATGTCGGTGACAAGGGCCAAATCGGGCTTGCCGGTCAAGCGATCGCTGCCCTTTGGATGATATACATGTGCGCTGCCGCCTTGATATCCATTACCGAAGTCAAGGTCTGGCGTGGTCGGGCACTGGTTCGTCGTAACACGGCGCCCGAGTCTGCCTTTTGGTACGCCAGCCAAGTTGCCCGCCTCAGCGTGCCACTCACGTACAATTTCATGACCTTCCTCGGCGTCGTCTACAAAGACACGGTATTCTACGATTTTCTCGGCCAGCTTATCAACCTTACACCCCTCGGCAAGTGGTTCGACTACCTGTTCCCCGCTCTCATCCTGGTCCCTGTGTGCTTCACCCTCTTTGGGCTTTACGGCAAGATTCAACGAGCCCTGGGCTTCGGCGTTGATGTTCTCGACACTTTGGAATCTGACGATGAGTTTGGGGCCAACTTTGGTACCGGCACCTGGCGCGAGGGTCGTGATCTCATCGAACGCGAGCTCAACGGGTCGTCGGCTGCCATCCGCGGTGGCCGCCGGTCACACTACACGGATTCATCTTCCTCCTCCCAACCGCGGACTGCTCCGATTTTGACCATCCGGGCCAATTCGACCCCTTACCCACTACCAGGGAACCCTACGACCCCCATTGCGACGTCGCCTAATTTGCGGCCGTTGGCAAACACATCGGCCAGGAGGGTTGGTACGGCGTCAAGGCAAGTGACGTTGGCAAGTGAGGATGACGATGAGAACTTTTTCGAGGCGCTGGGACATAGGCTCAAGAACACGATCGACACGATAGACAAACCGAAGTGGCTGACGGATATCCCGAAGCCCAAATGGATGGGAGGAGACGATAATGCTGGCGGTGCTGGTGCTGGCTCTGGGGGCAATGGTAATGAGAACTTTTCTGACATCAGGAGGTGGTTTGGCGGTGGTGCTAGCGGAGGAGCGGGTAGCAGCAGTGGTGGTGGAGGGAGGATAAGGCTATAAGGTCCTCAACGGAGTGGACGTGTTTATGTTTCTTTCCTCTTTTCGGCATGGCTTTGGGTTAAGGATACTGGATTTGGCTTCACTTTTCTCTTCACTTTAGATACCAAGCAAGCATGTATGGTATGGCATGGATATGTTCATGATACACCCCAGGGATTGGCGTTTAATTTTCGGCTATGGAGATGCCCCTGAGGATGTTCATACATCAGTCAACTGGAAGAGCTGGTGAAGTACCTGGTAATTCATGTGAGTAGGGTTAGGGTCCTTCGTGTACACCAAACTCAAGCCATCAAGGTGGTGAGACGAATGTGGGGGTTGGCAAGCGCGATAGTGCCCCACCTGCCCACTCTGGCGGTGCCAAGAATGGGGTTCTCGGGGTTATCTCGACCGCGAACTGCAGAGCACTGGGTGTCGTGATGGTGTGTCTTTTGTGTGTTTTGTAAATACCCTTTTATAGAAACTCATGCTTCATCATCCTATATTTCCAAGGCCATACTTTTTTTTACCTCTGTAAATGATGGCACTCAGCGGACTATCGGTACCTATCATCGAACATCGGACATTTCTTATCTGCCCTGTACTTGGTACCCCATATTTGCCGGCGGTATAGTGGAGCGTGGGGAAGCGGTACCCCGTAGGCGTATCCACACTGCCGCCGTGCCCGTTGCAACTGTGCCCGCCTCACTGCTCGCTGTGGCCTGGGCAGGGCGGCACCCGCGATTGCTGCATTCAGCGACCAGCATTCTTCACTGCTGCAACTGTTACCAAATACCACCGTCAATGCACCTCCGTCGTCCTACCTGACCTGTTACAATTTGTGAAAACCGAGAATTGCGAGAATCCAGCCAGATCTTGCCTCGCCGAACGACGTCAACGACATACTTCAACCTCTTCACTTTTCCCTCGACTTGTCTTCACATCCGACTACCACCATCCCCCCCGTTCCTACCTTACCTTTCGCCTCTTCAAACATCACCCGGTTTACCATTGCCTCTTCCTCTGTTTGCCCTTCAAGACCGGCTGTCTTTTTACCACCAAAGGCGAGGGTTGACTGACCGTTGACCGTCCCGCTGACTGTTGGAGGTAAGTCAGACCATCCATTTACCAGACTGGCCCCCGGAACCGACTCACAGCGTCTCTCACCGAGTACACGCGCGCGCACACACACACACATCTCACCACCGGCGAGGCGTCCTCATCTCGTTTACGTTCACAAAGCCGCCCCTTACTCACTCCTACTTGCCAGACCGACTGCCCGGTGTTCCCTTGCCCAGCACTCACAAGGCCACTCTTCACCATCACCTCATCTGGTAATCCAAGCGGCTACGGACTTCGACCTGGACCAAGACTTGGACCTGGGACGGAACGGGAAGCAAAGTCAAGGGGCCATTGCCCGTTGGATGGTTGAAATTCTCTGTTACTACCACAATCCAGGCCCATCCAGCCAGCAAAGGTAGCGGCAGCACTACTGCTGCTCTTATTCCAACATGGAGGTAAGCAAATCGAGACCTTTTTTTTTTTTTTTTTTCTGTCTTTGAAAGTTTCTGCAGTTTCCCAGTCAAGCCTTTTCATCCGCTTCCCCCTACCCTGGTCACTATTATGAAACTTTGTCTATCCGTCTTTCTGCCTGTCTGGGACACTTTGGGGGAGCCCGCCTGCCAATGGGGATCACGGAACCGGCCAACTTGTATCCGCAGATGGGTGTGTTCGGCTTTCAATGTTCCACAGACACTGTGGTGGTGTCGTCCTACGACACTGTCCCTGATCCGCTCGAGTCATCAATCTTATTCCGTCGTTATCCCGCAAAGAGTAAATCCGGGGGAAGGATCATGGGAAACGAAACCGCCCGTCTGGTTTGGGCGTTCCTTGGATGTCGGATTTTGAGGGAGGGTAGCCGCGTTGGTTAGGGAAGGATGAGGTGCCGTCTGGACGGTTGGGAAAGTTTGTCACACCAAACCCAAGACTACTCGCCACATGACCAGCCGGCCCAGCAATCTCCGACAAACTCCATGCGCCCAGTCCCATCTTGCATCCCTTGGACATGTTACTCCAATATTTTGCGGAAGGAACTTGTTTCTCTTGGTCGTATGTGCGGCCAGTCACCTCGTCGCCGTGGCTATCGGTCATCGTATGTGCCGAGCCAATTCCGTCGCTGTACCACCTTGGAAAATGAGCCACCTCTTCCTTCTGCCCGTATCGTTCCGTCAGCAACGCCTGGTAGATATTTCAGGCCGTCTTTGCTCCGAAAGTACGAGGCAATAAGGGTTCGCCAAAAACTGGGCTATACTCGGAACTCTTGAACACAGAGGCTGGCGGCCGAGGGTCATCTTGTCATTTTGGGCTTGGCACCGGCATTTGATGGGAATGGCTATAGACGCGTCAAATAACGGCTTCCCATCCATGTTTCTGTCGTCACTCGAGCGGCTACTTATCGATGTCTTGACAACATTCTACTTCTCGGTACCCAATCCGCGAGAGGCTACCCCTGGATGATCAAACAAACAAGGGACATACAAGCTAGTGGCTCATCGATGCTCAGCTGTTGAGATATCGCAGGCCTCTCGTCTATATCGCCGCTGTCGATAGTGTCGCTTTGGTCGCGCGAGACGCAAGGGAACTTCACGACCTCCCTTTTCCATCGAGGAATATCCGTTTCGGGGTCGTCATATCTGCTTTTCAAGCCTGCACAGCTCCTCATTCTACCCTCATACTGGCTTCTCTCATCATGGCATCTGCCTTCAGACGGGGCAGTGAAGCCCTTCTCGATCCCACCACTGAGCCACGACCACAATGTGTTTCCAGGCGTACTAGTAGGGCAATGCTAAATCTCCACCGTGTTTATGAGCAGAATCGACAACGAGTTCAGCAAACCTTAAAGATGGTGTCAAGGTACCCGAACCGATAGCAGTCACTCATGTCAAGGGCAAGCCCCGTCTGCTCCTTATGGGGCAACGAAGGTATGGAACTCATGCGAAATCTGGAAGGTAACTTGCGCTTACACGTGGATAGGAGCGGGAAGTCATCTATATCTAGCGTGGTTTTCCATAAGCTGCCGCCAAACGAGACATTATTCCTAGAGTCTACGGCTAGAATCCAAAAAGACAGTTTAAAGTAGGCCTCCCCCCTTTCTTCTTGGTTTCTGCTTCTGACGTACGGATTACAGCTCGTTCATGGAGTTTCAAGTCTGGGATTTCCCTGGACAGATCGATGTCTTTGACAACCCTTCCTTCCCTTTTGATATGGATGCCATCTTCGGTGAGATCGGCGCACTCATCTGGGTCATCGATGCCCAAGATGATTATCTCGAGGCTGTCGCGCGCCTCAACGCCACTATCCTACATCTACAGCGCAGCTACCAGCACATCAACATCGAAGTTTTCATCCACAAAGTCGACGGCCTTTCCGATGACTATAAGCTAGACATCCAGCGCGACATCACCATCCGTATTCAGGACGAGCTGTCGGACCAAGGGGTTGAGAATGCGCCGGTGAACTTCCACCTGACCAGCATCTACAACCACAGCATCTTTGAAGCCTTTAGTAAAGTTATCCAGAAGCTGATCCCCCGCCTCGGCCAGCTCGAGGCCATGCTCACCAACCTGTGCCGGACCTGCCGATTCGAAAAAGCCTACCTGTTTGACGTTAACACCAAGATCTACATCGCCACCGACAGCACCCCCGAGGACATGGCGTCGTACGAGATTTGCTCCGACTATGTCGACGTCATTATCGACTTCACCGAGGTGTACGGCAGCTGGCAGCGCACACCCGAGTGGCGCAAGCGCCTCGAGGGACCCCCCTGGGAGCAGAAACTCGAGGACCAGGTTGCGTGCGAGTGGGCCGAGAGCGGCATGGTGCTGGCGGACGCGCAACGCCCCATCATGCTCCGCGAGGTGGACAGATTCCTGGCACTCGTGGCGATCATGAAGGAGGGCAGCTATGAGAAGATGCCGCAGATTAACATGAATGTGGATGTTGTTGTCAAGGGGCTGACGGAGTTCTTTGAGATTACAAAGTCCAAGATGACGCCCACAGCTGTCCCGGGAGGTGTTACGGCTGTGAATGGCAATGGGGTGGTGGGAAATGGTCATTAGGGAGGTCATCCTGGGGGTTTGAGATCATCCGCAACATCTGTTGAGATAAAACAAAAGGGTGATTACTGGGCCCGTGGGCTTATACGGAGTGGAAGGCTAACTTGATAAAAAAGAATTATATCCTGGCTTCTGTAGTTGATGTAAGGGATAACAAAAGGCAAATGTTATGTTATTGTATTCAGGTCTTCCTACTCTTGGCGATGGCCACTATTCTGATAACAAGTAGGCACGTCAGGACATGGTAATACGCAGACATATATACGAATATAGTAATGCGTTGATATCCTTTCGGGCAACACATCATCCACACCCCCAACGCCACCCGGGGTGTTCATTGCTCTTCGTGCTTTCCCAAAATCAACCGTTGAAACTCCCATATAGCGTAGCTTTCTTATCAGTTAACCGAGGGGAATCAGGCAATCAAGATCGCAGGAGCAGTGAGTGTGGTTGTGATTGTACCTTCAGGTTCCATTACAACTATCTTGTCATCTCACACCGTGCAGCAACTTGCACACGCAGATGAAGCAGGAACCATGAGCGTTCTAGGTGTGAATGGAAGGTGTAACCCGCGGCTGGTCTGATCATAAGGCAATGATGAATTTAATCACGTTCTTGATTACTTACGTTCTTGGCCATTTGCTCAGATGGAGTAAAAAAGCCGGTGAATTTTGGTTGGGACAATACTAATGACTTAATCAAACGCGATGACTAACTTGGGACAGGGGAGTTGAAAGGGAGAAAGTAAGAAAATCGTCAAATTCAGAATCTGCCATGGTTCACCTGCTGCCTGGTTCATTTTCCACAATCCTGCGTCATGACTACTTGTTCTTCTACCGTTAACAAATCAACTTGCCGTGTTCTTACCTCCCATCCGTAACAAAGGAACATGATGATAAGAAAGAAGGGAAATTCTATCTTCTATCGTTTCATCGTTTCCCATGTCAGTCAGTTCAAGCCTGTCCGGTGTAAGCTTTCGCAAACATTTTTTTTTGTGTATAAAATTTGCGTGGGCATATGTTCAGAAACTCTGAAAATGTTCGAACTTCCGGATCTGGGGCAAGCCAGGGCTACCATAGTTCTCTCAGTCCTCGCTGTAAAGTTGGCATCCCAAACTGTCTGCTATCTTATTCTAGAGGTAAGCAACTTAACCATTGCGGCTTCTGGAACTATCGACCCTTTTGTTCTTCTTTTTTCACTTTCATTTTCTTTGCAATTCTACTCACAGTTGGGATACTCGATCCAGGCCCCAGTCCACAGTCCATAGTCAACAGTCAGTTTCGATACCGGCACAACATCTCGTGTGTAGGTGTTTCAAGCAACCTTGACTCTAATCCATCCTCCAATCCATCCTCGCCGCCGTCTCTGGCCGATCGTATCTCACCTATGGGATGGATGCATGAAAGATAGCAACCACGATACTCACCCAATAGACAGACTTTAAAATCTCAAAATCAACTATCGTTCTGTGAGCACTAACTAGGCAGCACCCATTCATTCCCCTCTGCAACCATGCCAGTAAGAATTGTTCCAACTCGGAAGTCATGTTTCAACAATGGCGAACCTTGATCACGTTGTCATATGTCTGTCTGTCCATCAGGTCTGCATCGGCTTTCAAGAAGTAAGGGAGCAACGAGCATGAAGCCCGACTCCGCGGCCGAACCCGTCACTGCCCCGTTTCTGTATTGTATTGTCTCGAACGCCCGAACCCAACAGATCAAAAATGGGTTAGTTTAACTAAAACGTCCAAGCTCTTAATGATGGAGCCCGGGAGTGACCCGTTCAGACGGGTCGCTTCCGTACGATGTGGCGTTGTTGGGTGTGCGCGGTGAGAGCTCCGGCGTGCACTAACAGCGTTGGTTGCAAATAAGCTGGCATTAGGTTAGTGCAGACTCAGTGGCCAAAATCTAAATATACTCTGCATCCATCGACGTGCTTCAACCCTAGACCCTGGAATCTTTAGAAACCGTTGTGTAAAAGTCCACTGAATGGGGCGCAAACACCAAAATGCTTACGTAGACACTGACATCGGGAGCGACGCTTTCGAGAAGTGTCACCGTGGGTGTGGCGGAATCCGAAATCAGATGGCATCGGCGGCTGCCACGTCAAGGGCTGCCTCCCGCTCGCCCCGCCGCGGCCGCCCCACCTACCGGCCGGCCGGTAAATTGGCCACCACCGCGAAGCGACGCCCAATCCTCGCTTTTCCTCTTTCGGATTTCCAAAAGCTAATGTTAGACTTGGGCGAGGGGAATTTTGACTGCAACACGCGTTTTTCTCTTTTCATCCCCTGTGCGATCTTCCTTGCAGGGGCTTTTTCGACGTGGAGAAGGGTCGGATCGCACTCCGTCACGATTAGCACCGTGACCGGTGGTGCTGCCGAGCTCCGAAGAAATTGAGGCGCAGGCAGCTAGAATGGAAAATGTTTGTTTCAACCCTCGGCACTTGCAGCCACACCGCTCCCCAAGGAACTTTTGCTTCAAGGACAGCCTTGGGAAAAGTTTTGAGTGATCACGCGAAAAGCCTCTGATGCCCAAACCCACCGCCCCGAATGTTGAGTCACTGAGATGCGCTGGACACTGCGTTCTTCGTGAGGGTGAGGACTCCGACCCCTCGATGAGGCCATATCAGCTTTGCATGGATGTGGCTAGGGCTCACTGCTCAAGCCTCAAGGGTCTTCATAGAGGGGCTCTTTGTGACGTCATGGCTTGGCATTTCGACGACCCTTTTGCGACCTCTGGCTGGCCTGGTTGACGACCACCTCGGACCACCAACGGATGTTCCGCAAAACCTGGGCGAGTCTTTGTTGAAACGCGCACGACGCGTCTTGCTGTCCCCTCTGCCCCTATCTCCAATGAAACACAGCTCGCCAGGCCTGCGCCACACTTCCAGACGGCCGATTTCGCCGCTCTCTCGTCGATCAACATGGGGCCGATGTTATTCCTGTACCGGCTTCTATTGGTACGACAGAAAACCTTCTCTGAAAGTGGAGATGCTGGAAGTGCCGTGCGTGTAGTAGTGTACACGTACAGCTCATCCATCTGTCCTTCTTTCCAGTGGCCTTGGGCTTCAAGCCGTCGGCCATTATCGTGGACCAAAGTGAGGACTCCAACTGGTGTCGTGGTCGATACAGCAGATAGCGGGCCTGACCCGTTAGAGCCGGCCTTTACACCGAGGACAACGGAGCTCAACAAGAGGCTTTGCCACCGCTATCATCGTAGCCCGATGCTCAGTCGGCCTGCAGCCAACTACAACGTCCCCTAGTATCATATAGAAGCAATAATTCCGGCTGTCCAATAGCCTCGTCGTTGCGCCGTGTTAATATCGATAGCGGTGCTAGGCATGAGTCAACGGCTGCTCGGCTCGTTCTCTCACTGGAGGTATGATGCTGCCGTGCTTCAGATTCGCGCTCACGCCCGTCGCGCTCGATGTGTGAATGGATACATATCGTCGGTATCGCTAGTCCCGCGACAATGGATCGGCCCTGCAATCGTTCTCCCAGTTAGCCCAGCATGCAGATGGAGATGAGAATCAAGAACAAACCCCTGTCTTTACCCCGTCATTTCCCCGACTTCATTCGGCCGAGCCAAGCTGTAGCAGCTAGGGCACCTTGGGCATGAAGGGAGTGAGGGTGTGTAATCAGTGAAATTGTGTCAACGGACGAGGCGTCTTGGTCCTCGAATGGAAGAAGAGAATAGTGACAAGGACAAGTCGCAGGTCGCGCTGCTCGCGGCACAAGGAGTAGGTATTTGCACAACGGGAAACATGCAATTGGCTTCCCCAGGTGATCACTGTTGCTGCAGGTCCAGGGCCATGACGACGACGAGGTCAGGTCAGGTTGGTTGTCGAATAATTTCTCTCGTTATCTTGGATTATCCCGCGATGGGCAGTTTGCGCCGACCCTAGGTCAAGTGACTGTTTTTCCTGGCGCACCGAGTCCCGTCGTCACCAGACCTGGACGGCGCGGTTCAGGTTTCTCTCCATCTTTGGTCTCGGCAAATTGTTGCGGCTGCCGCTTCCATCCGCGATAGCCATGTGCATCGTCCCTTCTCATTATGCTGGGGTTCCGTCCCTCACAGTGTTTCATCTCCGCGAAAATCACAAGCAAGGCTCAACTCGGAAGGGACGAACTTACAAAGCCCGAATTGAAAAGAGCAAGGGCGATGGACTAGCGTCTAGCTCAGGCCCCAGAAGAAAGCTGCGGCCGCCCACTGGTGCAAATCCGCAGTATAGAATTTCACAATCGATACTGTAATTTTGATTGCCGTTACGCGCCAAGACCGAGCACGAAAGAGCGTGCCAAGCCAATTGTGGCTGCCACCCTCACTCTCAGCTTCCAACTTTCTTCTCAGCAACAAAAGCTCGACGAGTTGACCTTGTCATGGAAATTTGGTCGATTTGCGACAACCCACCCACAACTTGTTCACTTTTCAGTTGTCAGTTTTCATTCTTCATTTCCAATATGCACAATGCGCATTGTCCGTTTCGTTTTGCTGCTGAACTCTTCTTCAGTTGGCCATCTGGTTCCGCTCCTGACCGCACAGCCCCCTTCTCTTTCGCCATCCCGTCCAGTGGATTTGGATTCAGGGTGGGAGAAAGCTCTGAATGTGGTCGCAGGACGCCATGGTCGCCTCCAAGGTGGGCAATGTGAGTAACCAAGACAAGCTCAGTTCAATGGCAGCGCAGCGTCGAGTCTCCTAGACCGATACCTGCCGAGCCGTGTCTACTTGCGACTCTTTTACCGCCGCGAGGGCGCATCTTGGACTGTCTCGAACCTACACCCTCAACGGCGTTCCACGAGAGGACAGCCGTTTCGTTCTCCCCCATGGTACCGAGCAATGCGGAGCTGCTCACATGTTACCCAATCCCACGGGCTCGATTCCCTTGTGCCGTTGCTTCCAGCCGCTTGCTACACCCCCAGGCAGGCGAAGACACAGCGAGATCGGGGGTACGAAACCCACGGAGCCAGGAACCAAGCGGTTCGATGTGTCCCCATGCCGTGTATT